TTCGTTTGATGAATTATTTAATCAATACAGTATATAAATCAACTGATAAATATGCTTTTAATACTAAATCTTTATTATTTTGTGTCTTTATATTTAGGCCCATATGTTAAAACAGACTGTTAAAATAGACCCCTATGGGATGGTTAGTCCTATGTTCAAATTGGTTGGTTGGCCGACTTACTGACAAAACATGTTGGCCAACCATGGACATAAACCTAGGGCCAACAGTTACTGCTACTTGGGATTCAAAGGCTCTATACAGTTTAATTTCTCCAAAAACTACATCAAAACTGCATTCTTTTGTATGGGAAGTTACGAGAAGAAAGTCGTGGGGGGACAACAAATTACAACACATTAAATCGGGGGAGGGGGGGGGGCGATTTAATGTGCTGTAATTTGTTGGTGACAAATAAGCTACATATCTGAACAGTATTTTGTAGAAATTTTTTCGGCCATATTGTTGGGCCATCTTACGGTGGGGTTGAAACACTGAATTTTTGAAAATTGAATAATTCTATTGCATAGCTAATATTCATTGTTGATTAGCGGGATTTGATCCCAGGCCCCTACAATGTAAGGCTCACACTCTAACCACGAGATCAGCTGTGATCACCACTTCAAATTAACTTTAACGGTGACTAAATTTACCGAATGTCAAATTATCATAATAGTATATAAACTAATATCTATTGAACGTCCATGAATTATCAGAGTAGATTTAATTAACACAAATTAAGACTACTTCACAAAACATGATTCCCCCAATTATATAGATATTATTCTTTAGAGTTTGTCTGTTTAAATTATATATATAGCATTTACTTATGACTAACTATTCATACTGACTAACAGCTATAGGCCCTACCCCTTTTAAAATATGTTATTTAATGTAGTATAAAAATGAATTCATCACAATAAATTTAATCCCAAATTCCATTAGGTTGGAAAGTCACAAAATTCGCAAAACATTGCGACCTTAATTGGGCTTTATTTGTTTTGTTTATTAATAACTACCGCTGGCGTGTTTATCCTGTGATCCTGTGTGATTTTTACCAATTTTGAACAAGAATTAACGCCCGTGGCTCTTAGGACAAACAAAATAATGCATTAGTTTTACTTTGTGAGATTTCTATCTGATTTTCACCAAAACGCTGAATCAAACGTTGCCTACAGGCTAAACTATTGGAATTCTTGCAGAATAAACATTTTGTATTTATCTTTTAACTTTAACTCAACTTTGCTAAACACGTTTACTTGAAATTCATATAGGCCTGTTTTTTCAAAAGTAAAATTAGGGTTTAAATAGTATTACAGACAAAAGTAAAAACTCGAAATCGGTTTTTAAAATAATATGAATAGAACATTATAGTTTTTTTTTAAATTTGCAAATGGGGTTTTGACTCTTAACAGTAAAGTAACTAGGTATGCGGCCTCATGTCTGCTAATTGAGCGGAGTGAGCTTCGATGTAAACAAATAACCTTATTTACAAATACAAATAAATTTTTTTGTAAAAAATATTATAGATTTTAACATAAAAACATGATTAATAATGTTATTGATAAATAAATCTCATGATTTTAACCCATCGTTATAAGCAATTTCCTTAAGTCTTGCCATCTTTTTTTTCTTTACTTACCATTTGCCTCCCTTATTTATGCTTTAGACTCTATAGAAAATGGCTCAATAAGCAAGCTCTTAATTGATCTAACTCTTGACAATGCTACAACTGCTCAGGTGATGCCTGAAAATGTTAAAAAATTAACAAAAGGATTAATAATTGATCTTATAAAACATTGTTCACAATACCCCATTATTACTATGACCCTGTCACGTTATTTCACTGAAACTAGTTTTTGCATAACAGACTTGAAAAATGATTTGGCCAGAGTAAAAAATTTACTATTAGTATTCGGGTATTTAGTTCAACATTCACTTAGATCCTAACACATTACTGTCTACAGTAGGCTTTAACAAAAGATTTGGCAGTATTAGTTAGGTTGATGATGTATTGAAACACAATGTTGAAGCTGCAAAACCACATTGAAGGTACTTGATACAAAATAAACTATTTTTTCCTACAGTTACCTAACAATGTACATGTTCTCTCACTGATTTGAGAAAGCAAAGTGGCCAATTCGCTCACCAGTGAGACAATGTTAACATTGTCTCACTCTAATTACTTTGTCTCACTCCAGATTTGCAACGTGAAGGCACGAAATAGTGAGCGCGTAACATGCAGGCAACGTCGTATGCGCGCGAAATACGTTGGCAGCACTGGCTGTAAATCAGCTGGTCAGCTGTTGTACTGTTGAATTTGTCACTTCACATTAAATGTTATATTAAAAGTTCACTTCTGTGTAAAAATAGGTTATGTTTCTTCATGTTTCTTCACAAATGTTTTTGTTTTATGGTAACTGTAGGAAAAGTATAATGTGCAACTCGAGTTCAAAGTACAATTGCCTCACTCGAGAAACCATTCCTCACTCGCCTACGGCTCGTGAGTAAGGATTTCTCTCGAGTGAGTCAATTGCTCACTTTTCTCACTAGTTGCACAAATAACTATTTTTGTGATTTTTTTTTTAAGAGGTTGGCGGCCTCTTTTAACCTTGCATTTGCCCGTCCACATAGACTTCATAACACTAATTTCATTACACTATTTCATTACACTAAGATACTATCAGCTGTTTTTGGAATATTACATTTCATTACTAGTACCAAAAGTGCCATTTTCCAGGCTCAAATTTCACACTTTCAGCCAAATGCCGAGTTATGAATGATTCTTTTCATCACAACCTAAAAATACACACTTACAGGAAATCAGACAGGAGTAATATTAAAACATTATTTCAACAAAACGTAAAACTATTACATTCCTAAATTAACATTTTTTAAACATCAAAATAAAATAAAATTTTCCATAGCAAACCTATATAGCATTACAAATATTAGGAAAGTTCAAGTATATTTTTATATTACGGTTTTCTTTGTTGGTATTATACACTCTTTTGATTGTAAGTTGTTTGGTATTTTGAAACACCCACATTTTATTTAAGTTTTAAACCACTCTTTATTAATGAAAATCTACTCCACAAGGTACATGGTTTCATGATTATAGATTTCTCAGTTAAATATAGGAATAAATACTGCCTCACATACTCTCTGTATCAATCAATCAATCAATCATGTTTATTGGCACATAACGTACAGAGTGAGAGTTTACAGGTAAATGTACAGGTGCTTTGTCATCTTCTTATAACATTTAAAAATAGTCCTTTTTTAAAACTAAATAACAGACTTAAACGTATTTAGTATTAATAACCAAAAAAATGTGTATCACTCTTCATATTTTTCCCGTGATTTCTCTGATAGAAGATTTTTAGTCATTTCTGAAGCTTTTTCATCGAATCATCAGGATCAAACAGCACTAATCTTTATGCTAAAAACATAGTAAAAAAGGCCTGTTTCTGTATACATTTAGATTGATTGTTCAACAATGGATGCAGCTGATTTATATATCTCAATTAAACCAAACCGTAACAAAATACCCCCGCCGCAGCAAACCTGCATACTAAGCGAATTTCCATTCGCCTGATTGGATTTACACTAAAATGTCTCCTTAAAAATATCACATTTATTCCCTATTTAAATAACATTAGTTTGAGTACTTAGGTTTGCTGCAACAGGGAGGGTAATAATGTGTTTTTTTGTAAAATGTTAATAGTTTAGTATGAAATGAATGCATTTTCCAAATTTGATCAAAATATGTTCATAAACAAGCAAACTACAACAGTTAACTTATTCTCCATAAGAATAACATGGGTATTTTAAAATTACAGATTTTTGGAATTTTCTCCGTAACAATTAGGCGCATAGTAACGCTTTAATATACTAAATTATTTGTTTTTTTAAGCTCTACAAAATAGTTTGAAAAGAAATTGCTAAATATTAAGTTTTTAGGGTCAAAAATGGGAAAAACCTATTTTTACCCCATAAAACCCCCCATTAACCCCTGTTCCCATAGTCCGATCATGCTGGTTCGCGAACTCGTTCGAATAAACATAGGTTTACACGTTTGTACCAAATTTCATCAAAATCGGATCATTTTTGCTCAAGTTATCGCGCTAACGGACACATATATAAATATATATATATATATATATATATATGAATTTGATTGGATGGTGTTTTTGGCCTCTAGGGACCTCAAAACGAAAAAATAAATCGGTCCCGGGTCCAGGTCTCACCATGAGTACTACGGTAATAGCTTATTCCCTATAGGGGAAATTCGCTAATAAAGAGAAAGAAAGTATATTTGAGCAATGGAAAATCAGCTGATTGTTTTTCCCTCACTCTAAATTAGAACAAATACTTTCTTTGATATCAGCTGTTATTGAAAATATCTTCCTTCAGTTCAGAGTGATGAAGAAATGTTGTAAGTATTTATTCTCATTGGCATTATTTACATAATTTATGCAAAGTTTTGAAATGTAACAACCATAAACCCTCATAAAAATTCAATCATTCTAAAATCGAGGTTTTGTTTATTGGTCCACCAGTTTTGTGAAATCTAGATTTCATAATTGTATTCTTTATTTTATAAAGTAGAGTGAAATAGCGTGTCAACTTTGGGGGATCTTATAAGTGAATATCTTCTTTAGAGGGAGATGTACTCTTACAGGGTTGTTAAGATGTAAGCAAACAGCCATGGCAACTAAACTTTTAGAGTGCACAAACAGAAAATTTGCCCTCAATTCCCTGTATTGAACTAATTAAAAAAGCAGATTAGTCGCAAAGACAACAAAACATCTTTTAAATGTTTCAAAAATGAATGCACCATTATTTCAACCCCAAGTTTTTACCACCAAACTTGTTGTTTTGGTTGTTTTTGTTGTTTAACCGCTTTTTATGCCACATTTTTTCCTACCAATATTCCTGTAAAATTAATTATGAATTTTGAATACTCATAAAATGTGTAACAAACAGGTAAATTAAAGGATGATTTGTGGGACAGTAAAAACACAAATACTTTAATGGCTGAACAATATAATACAAATGAGGTTGAGGTCTACTTTTGCTTGATGTTGTTTTGAAGGGATGTTAACGTATCGCTTGGGGTTGACATGATTGACTGTTTGAATCCAACAGCATCATCAGGGGTGGGTTTGTTGATCAGATCTGCAGTTTTCTTGTTGTCAAGAATAGTCAAATGGTTGCCATCAACAAAGTGAAGTGTCACTGGGTTCACGCAGAACTAAAAAATAATAATGTTGAGATGAAAATAATTTTGTTGACAAGAAAATCATATATATATATATACGGATCAACTATTTTAGAGTACTTAAATAAACATAGTGAGTAAAATTTAGTAGTGTTGTGCATTAGAGCTATAATCTCCAATTTTAAATCTGAACCAACAATGTTTGTATGGTAATATAAGAAGACAGCATAACCTAGCAACCCCATTAAATCTTCAAAATATGCAAACAAGTATACCAACAACCAGTTAATCCATGTTTTTACATTTAATAATTAATGATAGAATAGAAATATACAGGGTGAACAAATTAACTGTGCCACCTTTGGTAACTCAGAAACTATTAGATTTAGAGAAAACATTAAATGGGGAACTTAAACTAATGTTTAATGACATTAAAAAATATGAATTCCAATGTTTCAAAAATGGCCGCCATTTTCCAATATGGCGGCTAACTTAAAAATTTATTTTGGAATACCCTGTATTTTATGATTGTTTTAGATTTTATATGCAATTTTAAGACATTTTTACTCCTGGACATTTCTCTCTAAACTTACTCGTTTAGGAGCTACAACGCGAGCGTGTTAAATTTTGAAAAAAAAACTAATGACATGATTATAACCACACGGCAAGCTAATTTTTTAAAGTTTAACACGCTGTAGCTCTTAAAACAGTAGGTTTAGAGAGAAAATTCTAAGAGTGAAAAGTCTTAAAATTGTATATAGAATCTAAAACAATCATAAAATACAGGGTGTTCCGTAAACAGTTTTATGGTTGGCAGCCATATTGGAAAATGGCAGTCATTTTTGAATCATTGGAATTCATATTTTTTTTAATCATTAAAAACTAGTTGAAGTTCCCCATTTAATGTTCTCTCTAAATCTAATAGTTTCTGAGATACCGGTGGCACAGTTAAGTAAGCTGTTTACCCTTTGTATATTATAATTATCTATCCAATCTAAATAATTATTTCCAAGTAAAAGTCAAATGATTCTCTTCAATATCTGGATCGGTGCAATTTATCAGGTGACTTCAGGGCTTAACATATTTTGAGGAACATCTTTCCAGGAGGATTTGTCTAAATTCAGATCATTGAGTAAACTAAACTTAGCAAGGCAAGCCAAGGATCAAAGCTGGCAACTTTGAAGACACCAGTTTTGTCTGCAAAACTTGAAGTTAGTTGTATCCTACAACTTGGTTCTGTACTACCCTCCATTCTCCAATTATGGTTACAAACTGTTATAAAATGACAAGTATTTTAAAATCAGCTTGTATGTTGTTAAAAGAAGGGTTGTATAAAAGTGCAAGAGAGATAAAAAGATTAGAAAATTGTTTTTTTAGTTCAACATATTTTAAGAATAAGTTACCAGAACTAATTTGTATATTTGTTTTTAATTTAAAATTACAAAATGTTTTATTTTTGTTTTAGATGTTTTGGCAAAAAATTGTATTCTCAAATTTTATCTTTTTAATACTGTTGAGCTCAAAAATGCATACACTTCTCTCTTATAACACAACTACCTATTCTCTCTATTTAGTTGTTCTTGAAATTTTATTATCAGTGAGGATATAGGCCCTAGTGGTTTTTGGCCTTTGTAAAGTGTAAACATAGACTTACCTTAGAAAGTCCATAATCATCTTCAGTAGCCATTGAAATTTCAGAGGGTCGAATAAGTGTTACTCTTGATGAGATGGATTTGTTGGGAAGGTGCTGGTACTTGAAGATGGCCAGGATACGTTTGTACGCAGCATGCAGACTGAGTCTTTGGAATCGTTTGCTGTGTAAACCTTCAGGTGACTTGCTTACTAAGAACTCAACTCGGTCATTCCAAGTAGGCAAAGCCTTTATTTCTGCAATTGCCTGAAAAAATTAATTAAATTTTGAATGAATAATCTGATTTTCATTTAGTATTTGAAAATGGGTATTTAATTGTATGAAAATGTATCAAACTGCACCATCATTTTACAACTATTATCTATGTTAGGAGATTATTGCTGACATTTTCTGTCATTCCTAGTAAAAAGCAATTTTCACAAATAAGATATTGAATCTGATATCTAGTTGATTGTTTTGGTATCTGTTATCTATGATATCATAAAATGTTTTAAATCAACCCAAGATAAAAAATTACTAATATTAATCTAACCTTGAGGAGTAATATTACATCAGTGGTTTAGGAAACCCCTTCAACTATTAAATTTAATAAGCATTTAGGAAAACAGATTACTGCTATTTATGAAAATTTTAACTCAAAAGCAGCTCAACTCGCTCTCTGGCTGTATATTTCACATGGCTCGTGAATGCGGTCTTAGTGAATGTTGAAATATAATTTCTATTTTCTCCTATTTCGGGACCGATTTAAAGTTTCCTATATATTATGTTCTCTTTTCAAACTTTGGATATTTAAACTCCAAAATTTCCAAAGTGAATATAATTGTAATTGAGAAAGTATTGACTTACATGTCCAGTCTCTTGAGGCCAGATAAGATCGATAAACCGTTGGATGAGCTGTATTTGCAGGTCTTGAAACCCATCTTTCTCGTCTTCTACCTTCATAGTTTTGGCGCACAAGCCCTGGAGGAAGTCTGGAGCTCCGTCTATGAGGTACAACGTGCCTTGTCTGCCTTCCTGCTCCAGCCTGTGAACTATCTCCATGGCTACAATGGCACCAAAGGAATATCCAACGATTCTGAAGTTGGATCCTGGCCTCAGTCTCTTTTTTATGTGCTGAAACAGTTTATAAATACATTTAGTGAGATGGCACCATGAATTTACATCCAACCCTTCATGTGTGACTTTATCTTAAAATTCAAGAGATGACTCACAGAACTGATCTTCAGGAACACGGTGAAACAGAGAGATAAGAATAGTGGCAGAGCATTTTTAGAGAAAGAAATTAGGTCAAGTCGGTATATAAAGACTCTTATAAAGACAAATTTGAGGTACTGTGAGTTTTGCAACTGCTGACTGGCAAAACCACATATTAAATTAAAATACAAGTGTTCTGATGCAAACACTATGAAATGACCTCTAAACTCACACAAAGTTACCTGGTTATACTTCACACAAGCAAAAAAAATATTCTGTCTGGTAAATACCAGTACATTGAAATTAAGGTAAACGTGATAATGTGAATAACTTTGCGCAGGCAACAAAATATCCTAATCTCAATCCCACCACAATCATTGAACAGACACCAGTAAGAGAAAATCTTTGTTTTAAAGTTCACCAAGTTACTTTTTCCTATGGCGTATCATATTTTAATTTTTAGTGAATGGTGATTATGTTTTCCTGTTTTACTCTTGTCAAAAAATAAATATTCCTAATATGTAGTATGTCTATCTTAACACTCTTTTCTATTATGATTTTTATTCCTACTATCCTGCCACCTTTAATAAAATAAACCACAAGTTCCAGTTAAACAGGGATATAAATTATTCCCTGTAGATTATCTACACTATTTGGCAAGGGTGCATTTAACATGTTCATATTGGTATATTAATTTATTTTTGTAGATTGAACCTTACAGAATTCTTGTATAGTAACTGTAAAGTGATGTAACCTATAATATGAATATATTATAACTGGAGTCACCACTCAGTGTTTAAAAAATGTGCCACTGTTTTTGCTGGTTTTTTGTGTTGTAATGTTGGCTATATGATGGTTGGTTGGATAGCTGTCAAATTAAATTCATTCCAACCATGCTATTTCTTTGGGGCTATTTTCAGCCAGACAGGGCCGGTTCTAGGAATTTTTCAGAGTTAAGCGAACACCCGAATCAGCGCCACTTAGAATCCCCACCCCCAAACCCATGAACATATAACTTAACCGTATTTGTGAATTTTTTTCCCAATAATTTTGGGAAGAATTTTTTTTATAAGTTTAGGTAGAAGAAGTAACTTGCAATAAAAAGCTGTTTATTATTCGCAGAAATGTGACATTTATACACTTTTACTCATCATATAAAAACTATAGCAAAACCAAGGACACACTAAAAAAACAGGCCGTAATGTAATGCTCGTCAAGCATGACGTCACGATAGAAGACGGCAATGACGTAATGTTTGCCGTTTGTGATCAGCTGCTTGTTTTAATCTTTCCTTGGCAAATAAATAAATAAATACCTACGTCATTGCCGTCTTCTATCGTGACTTCTTTGGGCTGACTGGACTCGTCACCAGGGGCCTATTTCATAATAAAGTACAAAGTAATATTATTAGTAAATCAGCTGATCAAGATCACCCAATGCAAATCTAAAGGAAATTACAAGTTACAATTTGTAACTTGTAACTTGTAATTTCCATTAGATTTGCATTGGGCGATCAGCTGATTTACTAATAATATTAGTTTGTACTTTATTATGAAATGGGCCCCAGATGATTTCTACAAAAGTCTACTCATTGATTTGGCTTTTTTTTCTTCCTCTTCCAAATTTGCCTTACGCTTTCTATGATAAGTGCCAGACGGTTTCTTTTTTTCTGCCATTGCTTTCATAGTTTCGGCTCGCAATATGTTTTACTCACTCATTCAGTTTATACTTTATTTTTTATTTAATGCGCAAATTATAAATTAAACTTAAATCACTCGTAATAACAGGGCCGGATTTCCCAATAGGCCCGGTAGGCCCGGGCCTATGGGCGCAAGTTCCCAGAGGGCGCACGGCCGAGAGTATTTTTTTTTATATACCTAGGCTATCTAAAATAAAAAAAATAAATAGTCACAGTTGATAAAAAAACTACAAAGCATTGTGATTCTGAAGTTCATAAGAAGAAATAATTGTTAGGAAATCTAAACTATTTTTCAGAATCACGCATCAATTTCGTTACAAAATTGGTAACGAACATTGGTTATACGGGAGTAGGCTGTAGGGAGAAGGGGTACGCATCGTATTGCCACTGCACTGCCACTATGCTGGTTTGGGCTCGGCACTACTGATCAGAGTGATTAGGGGCGCATGCGTGCTAGAAATTGTTACTACCCTCACCTCACAAAACAAAAGTTATTAATTAATCTGTTGATTAGTTTACAACAATCTGCAGGATCAAGTTAATAAGTTGTGTTGAATATTAAAACAACGATGAATTTACCTTTAAAATTAACCAAAAAATATTAATCTCAGTTTGCATTAGATTTTAGAAAAATTCAATAGCCTCCAAAACGAACCAAATGCACCAATAATGCTGTCATTTTCTCCTCAGACCTAAGGGTCGACGGTTGGCCGGAATATTTCTCTGTTTTGCTTTGGAAATATATAACCTAGATGCAGTACGACCATAGATTAAATATAGCTCAAGTCGACTTCTTATGACATTGTTAATTCAAAAATTTTTCATGTCCAGTTCATGTTGGTGACACTGGACGTTAGTTTTGACGTATTTTTTTCCATTATTTTAGGGAGTTCTATGATGTGTGTTTCAATTTCTTGTAATATAACCAGGAGACGGCCTATTGTTGATTATTAGATAGTTTTATTTTGGATAAACTAGGTTTAAACATAGATCAAACATACTAGGTACTAGTAAATAACAAGAATTGTTTTCAGCTAATCCAAAATGATGACAAATCTACTAAAGGAGTATGTTTAATCTATGGTATCACGTACTGTATGGAGTTCATGTTTTTTTTGGCCTGGAATTGGAATCGATGGCCATGTTTTTTTTTTTTTTTTTTTTTTCAGGAATGCTCGGTGGATTGAGTTGTTTTGTTTCAGTCCCACGGCCACAAACGTGAGCATTTATTAAAAGCATAAAATTGCTAAAAGTGTTTAAGACGGCATTTTGTTAAGGCTATAAACAAGTAAATTCTAAAAAAAAACATGCAATGATTCCAACGAGGAGTGGTATTTAAGCAATTAACTTAGGTCAATGGGCATGATATAGTTTTTAATAAAGGTTTGAAGGAAAGTAACTGTGACCAGACTAGGGGGCGGAAAATTATTTGGGCCTAGGGGCGCCAAAATGCTAAATCCGGCCCTGCGTAATAATTCGCTTATCAACAATCATGAATCAAAACAATGCCAATGCGATACCGATACGGTATAGGCCTACGCACGATTACTAGAAAAATACCGGTATGGATCATAAACAAATGACGTTTTTGGCCCGAAAACAAACATTATTTAACATTGCTTAAATGGAACTGCCAAAACATATGTTCAATGCTATTAGTATAGGATTCGGGCCAACAACGTCATTTGTTTATGTTTATGATCCATACCGGTATTTTTCTAGTAATCGTGGGCCTACGTATACAACTAAAAGAGTGCAATACAACGTAGTGCTCTGCTCTAGGATCAGAGGCAGAAAGGAGTGAAAGAAAGGGGAAGTTTCTTGTTGTGACAAGTGGCGCTGCGCGCTTGCTTATCTCGAGCATGAGTGATTCGTGAAATGAACCCCATAGGTGCCGCGCTGGCGCTGACGCTGCCGACTGCCGAGCGTCAGCTCAGTTCAAATCGAAACTGCAAATGGCATTGAGTCCTTGAGTTGTAGTGCTGTACAAATATACAAAATTTTCAAGTGCTGTTGGTACAAACAGAATAAATGCCTTTATTGTGGTGCTTTGAATACTTGAACTCTGAGCAAAAATAAACAAAATTACGTTGTTCACGTAAAAAAATGTTTCGTTGGCGCCACGGCGCCACTTTTTCGTGGCGCCATATGCGGCCGCGTAGTTCGCGTATGGGTTAAACCGGCCCTGCAGCCAGAATTAACAATGTATACAAGTTGTATGGGCTAAGTCAAAATGAAATAAAGTTGGATACATATACTTAAGAACTATTTACTACTTATTATTAGACTTATTACTTAGAACTTATTACTTAGACTATTTGATGGACTTTTATCAACAACTATTTATTGTATGTTAAAACCTGTGGTTAAAGTAATTTTGAACCATTATCAATTGTTTTTAATACTAAATACTAACTTATTTTCCTCTTGTAAAGTTGATGTATTTGTATAACAATATTAACATATTTTTTTACTATCAACATCAGGATGACACCATCTTGTCTCTAATTTGACAAGTCCAACCAAACCGAGACAGTGTGACCAACAAAGCACAGCAACAAACAGCCATCTTGATGGCACGCTTTTCTTGAATGTTTAACCAGAGAGTAGTAATTCCAGTTATAATCTATACATCTCTTTGGATGTAAGTAATTATAATTTAATATAAAACTGTATTTTCAACATCACTGAAAGTTTAAAAAAGAACTTACAGGTAGAAGGTTGTCAGTGATGTCTGTGAGAGTCTCAATGGGGTTTTCATAGTCAAACTGTAGACATAATGCTTGAGCCTTGAGGTTCTTTGCGAGAGGCTCCACCACACTTGCAACTCCTGGAAACAAAATTGAAATATAAAAGCAATTGTTGAAAAAATTGTGTTTTAATGTTGATCTATGATACTTTTCTTATGTCTATCTTTCTATTTCAATCCCAGGAATTTTTTTGGAGAGTAAATGGCAATAAGATAACAATAGATTAAAACTATTGATTGAATATAAACCTCGTCAATGTATTCGCTGTCTCAACATTTAGCTCTAGTCATGAATGTAAAAGTGTACAGATATTAGCTTTATTTTTTTACTATACACACTTTTTGAATATGTTTACAATTAATTATAATTGATCATACAAGTTTTAAATGGCTTCAAGTGGAAGTCTCTCCAAATTGAGATTATCTCCTCATCTAAAGAAGAAACGAGTTCAGGTTTTTTCTGACAGCTTAAGCTTCATTTTTGCTTTATGGGGCATATTTTGTAAAGAGTAAATTATTCCAGGAATTGTACCGGTGTTTTAAAATTGTAAAAAGCCAAAGGTGCAACCTTTTTAGTAAAAGACAAACTGAAATGAGCACAGATGTTACAAAATTACAGCAATGGAAAGTCTATAGTACAAGAAAATATGTATGTGTTTACAACAACACATTTATTCTGTCAAAACTTTTCAGACATTCAAACCAAACAATAGCAATTGATAAAATCTAATTACTACAACCACATTAACTACAGCAAGTAAGTTAGCAAGACATTACCTTCAATTCCAGGGATGAGGAAGACTAGTTCATCCCCGACAGCAATCTCTTCAATAGTGTTTCCGTCACCTGCCAGAGATGGCAACCTGATGATAGGTTCACCACATAGCAACTCGTCACCAATCACTCTCAGAAGATGGTTGATTCCAAACTCTGGTATTTTGTCACCACCTTTAAACAACGAAAACGATAAACTTAAGTTGTGCTGCTGTGATGAAAACAAATATGAATAAAAATAAAGCAGTAATAACGTAATGTATTACTTGTAATTCCAGCAGTTTGTATGATGAGTCTCGTGTAGAGGTGAATAGTGTATGAGAAGAAAATAGAATCGTTTATTGACATTAAATATATACATGTAATAGACACTAGACAGTGTCACATTTAAATAATGTCAAGCCTAAATTAAGTCACATCCATCAAACTTTCACATTATTTAAAAACACTGAGTTGAATCATCCAGTGATATATTTAAAACTCGTTAACATGATAGAATGGGGTTTCCACAAGCCAGTCAAAGTCAATTTTTATGAAACTTTCTTGTATTACTGTTTGTCATTTAAGACTTAGTTTATTAAACAGCCTAGTAGCCTATAGCTTTAAATGACTTTGAAGTTTTTCCAAGCCTGAATCTATTAATAAATGTTAGACCGGCCCTGGTAAAGTGATCACGGACTGATTTGACCAAGTAAGATTCTTATAATTACGTTTTACAAAGACTACACTAATGGTTTCAGCATACCTGCTCCTGGTGCATCTTTAGGTTCATTCTCTGTCTGGGCAGCCAAGTCCTGCAGTTTGGCGAAGGTCATTCCTCGGATGTCCTGAGGTGTCAGGAACACCTGGAACTCTCTCTCCAAAGTCTGCTTGATCTCAACAGCCATCATGGAATCCATACCTAGCTCAGCCAAGGTCGAGTGCAAACTGATGGTCTTCAAGTCTCGTAATCCTGAAGAAAATCAGTAGAATGTTAAGTAACATTAAGTTATATCATTGACTTTTTATGGTGAAGTAGACATCCCACCTACATGGACCATCTGAGAACGTAGTTGAATGAGTAACTCACAGAGTGTACAGTCTAAGATATTCTCCATTAGATTTGATTTCTTTGATTATTCATGTGACATAAAATATGCTACAGTTTACAGTAAGATGTTCTTTCAGTTTAGTTTGGTTGAAAATTTGGCGTATTGACGAAAATTAATAATCAGCACTTTCTTTTGGTCAATAAATTTATCTATGAAAATTTTTATTGTGACACTAAATAGAGCTTAACATGGGAACAGGGTGTCTACTTATATCAAAGATGAAAGGTAATATAAAAATATTAATCAGTACACGTAATATCTAGTACAGTAGACTTCCTCTTATCCGGACACCTTTTAGCCGGACATCGGTTCAACCGGACTATACACTCGGCGGAAATGACATCTTTTTAATCGGACAATTTTTATCAGCACATCGATTTAACCGGACTAGATCGGCAGGAAGTGGGTGGTATACTAAAACCACTGTTCTCATGGGAAAGATTTGAGACCAGTGATCACGTGTCTAAATACAATACTCTCCTAAATTTAATTCAAATACTGTATACAGTATGCATTTAAACAGTCCGTTTTAAAAAGTTTTTGGAGACGTCGGTTTAACCGGAAAACCCGTTATCCGGACTGGCCTCGGTCCCGAGGAGTCCAGATAAGATGGAGTCTACTGTACTTGGAAAAGTTATTCTAATTTTTTTTCAGGGTCCATAGAACTATCTACTGCTGATTTAATTATAAATCATGGTACTATATTTTAACCCTTAATATATAATTCTTACTTACCCAGGGGCTTACACAACAAAGGGGTCCTTGACCCCTATCTTATAAAAAATATAAATTATCTTATATTAATCTTATAAATTATTTGTGATGATCTTATAAAAAATACTACAGTAATAGCTATTTCTTATATGGGAATTTGGTAAAAACAACTCAAGTAAAACTAGTTACAAAACTACAGTAAAATATTAGCAGTTTTGAACCACGTGTATTCATTCCCACAATCACATGGGATTAGAAGCACACTCCTGTTATACTCAACCAATTAAAATGTAGTTCGTTATGCACAGTTTTATTTGAGATGGTATTTGTATGCATATTCTTTATGTTACAACAAGAAACGTTATAATAAACAATTCATAGTTAGATTTGATTCTTTTTAATTTGTTAGAGAAATGTTTCAGTTTCATTAAAGTAGTATTTAATAGTAGTAGGAGTATTGGCTTGAATCGAAATATGATTTTCCACAGAAGTGTTAGTATTTATTTTTGTTCCTACATATTTAGGATTTTTAATTTTTAATTAAGCTAAATAAAAAGATAACATAATTACTAATTCGCTACTGCTGTACATTTGATGAATTAGAAAAAGTTAGACTAAATACTTTGTAAATTTATGACTATTCAACCATTACATAGCCTATATCTTGACCATTATATCAAATGCATTTGTAACTAAATACTTTTTTACAAAAATAGGTACTTTTTGTAAGTATTATACGGAGGCCACTTATTCTACAGCGCTCTGCTGCGGCGGTCGTGTTAGGTTGGGTTAACAAATCATAAATATGTTTGTAGGACTTTCCTCATTTCGTTATGAATCCAACGATACCCGATGAGTCATAACAAACTTATGATAACCCAACCTAACACAACCGCCTGTCTAAGAGTGGCCTCCGTATAATACGAAAATACCCAGAAATATTCTGTCAGAACAGGTAATTTGTTCTCCTTAAATTACAAAAGTAGTTTTCCAAAACAAAAAATGTTCAATACCGGTACCTATATATTTAAGGAACTAATGTGGCTTGAGGCTCAATTTTTTATGATCCCCTCTTAAGTTATCATTTTTTTAGTTTTAACAATTTTGGGAACAAAGATAAAGCAGTGCTAACTAGGATTAGAAACCTAGATTTGTTATCATCAATGTTTCTGCACATTATTAGCTTCGTAATACATTTTCAAATGACACATTCCTGCTGCCATATACTAAATATCCATACTACAATATGATACAAATTTTATCAATAATTACCAAGGATGTTGACAACAGTATCGACAATGTTGCCTGCCACGCCTCCTCCAGCTCTCTTCTCTGCTACAACCATACTTGCGACAATGGGGAATCCACAGTACATGAACCCATCCATGACTTCTAAACATGAGCTGATCCTCTGCTGCAATGTTCCACCTAGAAACCATTGAGTTTATGAGCATTTTTGAGCTGAAGAACTACTCTGAAAGAGAGCTGTCTCAGATGAGATAATAGGAATGGTAGTTTGGTGAGTCAGTTGCTCAGTCAGTAACACAACAGCTTGTGAAACAAAGGCAGATGACAAGGGTTTGGATCCCAATGCTACCACTTGGAACTTATAAGTACAGTTTAATCCTTGCTTTGCTCAATATGTTCCGCACACAAGCTTGAGGCCCATAGACTGGAAATTTAAGATTTAAAGAGGCTGTAAACCTCTTTAAAAGAGGAAGAATAATTATTTATTGGATTGGTTACTCAAAGATGTAATTGCTTTTTGATCTTTCAATTCAACTATCAACACCTGAATTTCGCTGACATTAACCACCAGGGCTTTGCCAAATAATATTCTAAGTAAATATTGTGAAACTTCAGTAATTCGTGACTAATATTACAAATTCTCTAGTTACTATGAATACTTAAACCTTTGATACTCCATACTTAATTCAAATTAGCCTAGTTATTGTACATAACAACTAAACTATACATTGAAAATTTACCGATGACAAGTTCCAGATGGTCCTCCTGCATTTCTGCTACAAGTCCAACTTCTCCCACGGCACCCCACTGGACTGCTAGGGCTGGCAATCCATCTTTCTTACGCTGCTCACATATCCTCTCCATCACAGAGTTAGACAATCCATAGTTGGTCTGTCCTGCATTTCCTCTTCCACAAGACACACTTGAGAATATAACAAAACTGCCCAGTTTAGGGCACATCTTGCGAGACAACTTGTCTAGGTATTTAGTTGCTACTGCTTTGGGTCCAGCTGATGTTGCAAAATCTGCTTCTGTTTGATTTTCTACAATGGCGTCTTTTAAAACCTATAAAAAAAGCACAAAAAATATTTTTATTTTACTTGCCAACCGGAGTTACTTATACTATTTCAAATAATGTATAGACGATAGACCCTTCATTGTACATAACACCTGACCTGACACATAACAATCACAAAAGTAATTCCCAAGCTGTTACATAGCCATTTATGTATCTAAGTTCTTTAATCTAAACTACCTACACAAGAGTAAAAACCATAAAAATGTATCCATAAAAAAATATGGATTTTGTAATAAGTTTGTAATAAGTTAAAAGTAATAATTTTGTGTGAGAATATTTGAGATATTGGAAATTTTTGTTATTATTTCTTGTTTGATAATTATGTTTTATTTTATATTTTTCATTAATGGGATGATTTGCAGAAACATGCTTTGCTATTTTAAATAATGTATATAAAGAAATGGTAATGTTAAAATGGAATGTATTTTGAAAAAAATGTTTGCAGCAGGCTCGAGCTTTCTGGTGAAAAATAGTCCTGAGAATGGACTTTTGGCAACTGAACACTTTCTTGGCCTCTACATAGTTACCCCAGAGAGTAACTCCATAAGCCAACAAGGAGTGAACATATAAATTATATACCGTCAAGCAGACATCTTTAGATGTTACTTTAGATGGTATGCCTATTGGTCTAAAGAAACAATAGAATTATAATAAATTAGTATAGCTTGATGATACAATATTGTTACCTGAAGAGTTGTGCAAAGTGGGCAGAGGGAATGAAATATCAGCTTGTTACTAAAACATACTTTTGTTGTACAGCAATGGGTGGGGGGGAGGGGGGGCTAGTTGGCTACTTGGAGCAATCATTTGATCTGACAATGCTAGACGACATCCTTTACACTTAGGGGCCTACTAATAACTGATAGAAACTGCTTTAAATTATTTTTACATACCACAGCAAGGTTAAAAATGCCATCTACAGGGCCGAGCTTCAAAGCCTGTTTCAGTAGGTCGTTGACTCCTTCCTCGGTTGTTACATCAGCTGTTGATATTTGCACAATGGCTCCGTAACTTTCCCATATTCTGATCCTCATTGCTTGGTAACCAGTCCTTAGACCAGCTCGAGACGTCAGGACAAGCTTCCTACAACCTCTCAAACAAAGCCAGTCTGCCAATTCCAGCCCAAAGCCTCCGAGTCCACCTGTCATTTCAACGAACCATGAGTGTTACGTGTCACTTAGACTATTTATGACTACATTGTTTAGGTCTAGATAATTAAGGTATAATTGATGTGGTTAGTCAGAAATGGTTGTAAGTTTGAAACTATATCTCATGCATTTGGGAGCTGAAAAGACATTTCCCTTTTCAAATACTTGAAATTATGCTTCCGTGTGAAATTTTGGTCAGTTAACACGTTCGCTGCTACGGACGTTCCGGAACGTCAGCCGGGCCACGGCGCCAGGAGCTAGGAATGTTCCGGAACGTCACTGTTCATTGTTGTTTAACGTTGCTATGGATAACCCAGCTCGTCACAAGCGTCCTATATTTCTTTGCAGCTCGTGGGGACGTACTTTTCTGACAATAAAAAATATAGTTTCCCAAAATCACCACCAGGTTCGTTTAGAACAGGACTTTGTTTCACCTCTTTCCTGCTAGATAGCGACACTACTTTACCGACTGTAACCTGGGTAGTGCTGCTATCTATCCGAATCACTTAGTACTATGTCCAAAGCCAGTTTTAAGGCAGAACATTGCCATCCAGTATAACTACTGTTGTTTTTACTGTAATTCTATTCAGTGCATCGGCGGCAATGTCACGCAGCGGCCGAGCGTTAGTTCAGCTCCTGGCGCCGTCCCGGCATCTAATGGTCAACAGCGAACGTGTTAATGGTTCATTATCTCCTAAGTAAAATCAAAGAATGAGAAGTCACACGTTTTTTGAAAGCCCCAGAATTAATTAATATTTATAAATATTAATATTTATTAAGGTTTACAAGTTACTGTACAATTTACAAGTTTTCCCCATCATGTAGTTAGTCAGATCTCCATTTTGACATACATCATACTCTAAAGAAACAATATCATGTAGGCTACTATATGTACTATAAAAGAACAAATACAGTAGAACCTCGATAGTCCGACAACCCTTAAGTCCACAAAGTGTTGAAATGTCGAACTATAGGGAGTAAATGGAGTTTAATATACAGGAAAGTAAAAATACAATTTTTATATAGAAATCAACCAAATTTATTAAATACTAAAAAGCTTAACAATTAATTTCACTGTTCATTAGTTAAGACTCAAGTCGACAATAAATGACAATTTAATGTTTAAGTCAGCTTAAATCAAAATAGTAACTATTAAAAATATCACTTGACAAAATAGCTCAGCTCATGTCAAGCTACAAGGAGTGTCAAACTATAGAACGTTTGCTGTATAATCATTTCCACTACCGTTAGTTGTATCTTAAATAGTTTCAAAACTCACCAATAATTATGTAAGAACACTCGGGGTCACAGAAATATCTGGGTCTGGCACGCATCTTGATAGGTTGAGGAATGGATGCTAGACTTTGTTCTTCTTTTCTTATTTCAACGAGCACTTTACCAACATGTTTTCCTGAGGCCATATATCTAAAAACAATAATAGGCCTAATTTAGACATCCAGCAGCAAACAAAGACAACATACGGTATATACTTCATTATTTTGACTTTTTGGTCATTTTTGTTATTTGTACAAAAAAAATAGACCCTAAATAAACCTTAGGTGAATAATACAAATGAAACACTAATCCACTAACTAATGGATCAAAAACTATATGCACATTTAATGTTTTTTAAAACAATATAAGTATAAAAACATTTAATGTTTATCTTAATATTAATCTTGCTATGTTAATCTTGGGCAAATGCAAGATTAAATAGGCCACCAAAACCTCTTTAATAAAAAAAATAGTCACAATTAACCATTGACGATCCAAAGGAGTAATGTATGTTCTCCTAATCATTCAAGTTGCCAGTTATACTTACCACAGAATTTTTGCACAACACCCTAGATAAATAATTTCACATTGGTTGTTCCTGCCACTTATGGCTAGTGATAATATCCAACATAAACAGAATGAACAGTCAGAAGGCCAGAATCTTTGGCCAAGAAACAAAAATGTTTGTACAAGAAACTTTGTTTTCATGTCTGCTGAACAGCTTTGAAAATTAATAATACTTCCGAACTGGTTGGGAGAATAAGCCGCAACGGTTGCTGTGTTGATATGAAAAAGAAAGTGGTGTTTGATGCTGGCCAAACGAGAGGCATAAACAGCAGATTTTAAAAGAATATTGCACTGTTTACGTCAAAAACATGGTCAGTACAACTGGTCAACTGAGCGCAAAAGGTTGAAATTAGTAAACTGCAGAGTGTTTAGATTGCACTTTTGAGATTTATTTTAATTTTATAGTTACCTGAATGCCTGTTCAACTTGATCCTCTGGGAAGACGGAGGAGCACAGCGGCTGGACTGCTCCGGACTTAATTCCGTCCATGATGAGCTCACACAGTTCCATTTTACGAGTGGATTTTGGATTGATGAACATGGTGTCCAGTTGGATCCCGTGGAAACTCGTCTCACGCAAGAAAGTCTCCATGCCTTAAAATAAAGATTCTGGATAAGAGTAACCACTTAACATATGGTGAAATGTGTCTAGTTTAGTAACTGTTATTGTCAGTTAATTTAAAATTTGAACAGTTTAAAAAGTTTCACAGTTTTCATAGGGTACCTTACAGAATTAGGTACTTAAAAGAGCCTAATTATGATATAAAATTTGTAATTAAAATTTACCAAGAGGGTTGTTGTTAGCCAAGTCAAATTTTCCTATTTCCAGGAATCTTCCTCCCCGAGCCAAACAACGCACAGACGCCAGCAGTTTCTCTTCTGCAAGAGAGTTGAGTACCAAGTCAACTCCTCTACCATCCGTTTCAGTCATGACCAGCTGCTCGAATGAACAGTCTCTTGAGTTTCCAATATGGCTGTCCTTGATCTGTAACAAATTCAAACATTATTCAAATACCAAACAAGACTTTTGAAAATAGAATACCTAAAAGCAAAATTTTTGTTAAAATTTAATCAATTACCGTACTTTCCTTAAAGTCTACCTCTACAGTTTCTGCCATTATATAAAACATACTAAATTAAAGTTCCCACGGAAACTATATTTATGCAAGAATGTATATACGGTATGTCTTCAGATATGTTATTTTAGGGATATTGCGTGCACTATTTGTGTGGAGAATTAACTTAAGTGTTGTAGTAGAAACCACAAATCGTCTTATCTTTAAATCTATTTCACAGTTCATGCAGGCCCCTAACTCTCATTTAGATAATTTAATTGTAAAAGAACATTTCAGGTCTATTATCTATGTTGACATTATGTTTTATGCCAAGAAAGGTTTAAAATTAAGTTTCCACGGGTGATTCCACTACTTAATAAATCAACTATTATTTATATATGTAGAAATTCAAGCAAACCGGATCCATAGTAAACAAAAAAACACAGACCTACAAAACATACACTATAGGAGCATGTGAAAACACCATGTTGAGTCTTATTTAGGCTTACAATAGATTCACAATATCACTAAACCTCATAGATAACTATGCAACAATACATATCATCAGCTGATCGGCAATCAAGTTAAGAAATCAGGGATACCAACATATAAGCTTGTTTGTTCATTTAACAGAATCTAACAGTAGGCTACTTACTATTTGGGTTTTGTAAAAAAAACACTCTGTATTATGTGTTTAATGAATAAACTAAACCAAGCACAACCATTATAAACAACTGGATTACAAACAAGGATTTAGAAATATAAATGTTAATAAATTTGTTTCCCTCCTAATGGTCTCAATACTGTAATTTTACTCTAATACACCTAGTTATACTGTATTTCAAGTGTACAGACCTGAGGGAATGTCTTCCTTATAAACTCCCTCTTCTCCGGAGTTCCGACTGTTGTGAACACTGTGCAGCCGTGATGGAGGGCAATGTAGATGGCTGCCTGACCTACACCTCCTGTTCCTGCATGAATCAACACTGTGTCTCCTTTCTTCATGTTTCCACAAGTCATTAGTGCGAACATTGCCTAAACATATCACACAGTTTGTTACCTCCTCTCGTACAAGTATGAAAAGGAAAAGTAAATTCAATAATATTATCTTAGTTAAACAATCCTCAAAATAAGTTATTATAGTTTGAAGTTGGTTGGTGATATTAGATTTTTAATGTTTGGGTAATATTTGTGGGTTTTTTAGGATCTAAATTATGGTCCTGTCTTTATATTATACATCACCTAACACATAAAAGTGCAAGCAATTATCTTACACTTGGAAAATATGCAAACAACACAATAAAATTCTACGGTAGTCACAGGTTAACGTTTGTTCTATTGCAGAACGAAGTTGATGTTATGTTTAATAACGGAGAAATAAACACAAATTTATTAAATTTATATTTACCAAGGGGTTAGGAATTAAATTTAACTCACATTTCCCACAATACAAGCCCAAACAGACTGGGTTCTGTCCACCCCATCTTCTTACTACAAATACAGAAGAAATCTCTGTTTTATACATGTTTTTTTCTAGATTTTTCTTGTATCGCCTCATCTTAAAGATAGTATCAGATTCCAGATCCTTAAAAATACTGGTGCAAAAACTTGTATTTAGAATTATAAAGAAAATCTTCCACAAATATATGTAATCCAGAGGTAACGGTTACACATTTTAAGTCTCAAGCAAGTTTTGTCTGTTTAGAAAAGCAAATTTTGTTAAAATTATCATAATGCTTTTCTTGAGTGAAGATCTCTGACACAGAATTATTGTTTCTTTATAATATTGCCAAACGGCTAAATCATTATACAAAATAAACTAATCACACACTTTTTAAAAAAGTTCTATATTTCGGCATTAGCCTTCTTCAGGAACAAACAAACAATAACAAATAGAAGTGTTTACCACTCTGTATCAGATGGTTTTAGCAAAAATCCAAAATACATATAATTTATAAGAAGTAAAAAAGAAAATTTTGATAGAAAGAAAGAAAATATTTTTTGTATAAGTTACTATCTCAAATTTAGACCAGATGGTGTTTTAGATTTAAGTATTAATTGATGAGCTTTCTCAAGCTGTCTTATTTAAGTCTGATGCGTCTTTTGCATAAGAAAATTGAAAAAAGGGAATAAGAAAATTGGCAAAAGACGCATCACTTAAAATTAAGACATCTTGAGCAAGCTCATAAATTAATACTTAAATCTAAAACACCATCTATCTGGTCTAAATTTGAGATAGTATACAAAAAATATTTTCTTTCTTTCTATCAAAATTTTCTTTTTTACTTCTTTATAAATTATATGTATTTTGGATTTTTGCTAAAACCATCTGATACAGAGTGGTAAACACTTATATTTGTTATTGTTTGTTTGTTCCTGAAGAAGGCTAATGCCGAAATATAGAACTTTTTTTTAAAGTGCGTGATAAGTTTATTTTGTATAATGACACAGAATCAGTTATCCTTGTATAAGAAACCTATCTTTTTGTTACTTCATGAATCGCAGTGTAAGATGGGCTTCAAACAAGTGGGTCTAGGCGTTATCACAAAAGCTATTGGTGATCTATTTTTAAAGTGAAATAAAAATTATTAATTGAACTTGAACTTGAGCCTTCTTGAAAGTAGGCCTGTGTTCTAACCACTAGATAATTGGCCCCATAGGTAAATAAGTATGGTTCAACCATTTAACCCTATTACTGTATTACCAAGTACTAAAATTACATACAGTTCCATAGACTACAGGCACAGTTGCTCCCTGCTCCAAAGTCCAATGGTCGGGTATTTCCCACATCAAGAACTTGTCTCCAATTACGGTGTTGGACAAACAACGAGACGATGTCATTCCCATCACTCTGCGACCGTCTGCTGTGCGACCAGAAAACTCAAACCCACATTGACAGTCCTGCAAGCATTGTGTTTACACTCAGCTAAATTCAAGTGCTGATTTAAATCTTAACATTAACGATTAACTTCAACGTTTAAAGCTCTTGTCTTTTCACACAAAATTTAAAATTTACAAAACGATAAAACAACCAACATGTGTGGATGTAAAACATTGACAGTAACAAAGGCACTAAGAAGCTAGTTATATTTGAAAACAAAGTACTCCGGAAAATCTGTTGACTGATAAAAGAAAATGAAGGATGGAGAATAACATATAATAGGGAACTAAAAGATCTGTTTCAAGCATCACATGTGCTTGCTAAATAAAAATCTGACATTTAATATGGACTGAACATGTGATAAAGAAGGGAGATGAGCCTGTAATAAAACAAATACTCCCGCCGCAGCAAACCTGCAGACTAAGCGAATTTCCATTTGCCTCATTGGATTTACACTAAAATGTCTCCTTAAAAATATCACATTTATTCCCTATTTAAATAGGATGTTTTTTTTATGTTAAATGTTAAAAGTTAGTAAGAAATAAAAACATTTTCCAAATTTGGGCAAAATATGTTAATAAACAAGCAAACTACAACAGTTTACTTATTCTCCATGAGAATAACATGGGAATTTTAAATTTAAAATTTTTTGAAATTTTCTCCGTAAGCATTAGGCGCATTATAACGCTTCAATATACTAAATTATTTGTTTTTTTAAGCTCTACAAAACAGTTTGGAAAGAAATTGCAAAATTTTATGTTTTTTGGGTCAAAAATGGGAAAACCCCATTTTTACCCCGTAAAACCCCCCATAAACCCCTGTTCCCATGGTCCGATCATGCTGGTTCACGAACTCGTTTGAATAAACGTAGGTTTACACGTTTGTACCAAATTTCATCAAAATCAGATCATTTTTGCTCGAGTTATCGCGCTAACGGACACATATATATATACAGTATATGAATTTAAACGGATGGTGTTTTTGGCCTCTAGGGACCTCAAAACAAAAAAAAAATCGGTCCTGGGTCCAAGTCTTACCATGAGTACTACGGTAATAACCCCAGACAGCACACTTTATCCCAGGGACATCCCATAGTAGTCCCATATGTCCTGAGAATGTCTCGGGATATGTGCGCTATCCTCAGGATATCCCGCAAAATCCCGGGACGAGTACGAAATCCACAGGATATCCTACAATATACCGTAATGTCCCGGGATTTGTAAGTTAACCTCAGGATATCCTGTAAAGTCCCGGGATATGTACGAATGCCAAGGATATCCCAGAATGTCCCGTGACATCCCAGGACATGTAAAAAATCCACTGGATATCCTGTAATGTCCCGTAATGTCCCGGTAACAAACTGAAGAAAAAAATACTACCACTGATGAAATGTACAGTACTGTATATCTAAATTTAAATGTTCAACAAGGCCAATATAATAATTTGTTTTTTTCACTAGTGCTTTCAGAAACTTGGTTTCCATCTTCAGGCTGTGTTTACACTAGTACAGAAAGTAAATATTTACTTAATAAATTAATTTTAAACAAAGTTAAAACAGATGATTTAAAGGATATTGGAAAAATAAAAAATAATATTAGAAAAATTAATCTTTTGAATTTTGGATATGCGAGTCTATGATATGCGTTACAGTGTTGTTCTTGATGTAATTATTTTCAGTAATTCCGAATTTATAATTGGGCCGTCTTCATTATTTAACAAATAATTTTGGTCTGTTTTTTTTTCTAAAAATAAGATTCCCACGCATTAAGATGTTGAGGTTTTATAATTTATTTTAAAAGTTTAAGGTTTCCCAGATTGAAAATATGTCTTGTTAATACTATGGCTAGCAAGGGTTGACTTTACTTTACTGACATATTACTACCACTGAGTTCAGGAAAACTAGAGTTCTATCATAGTTGTGTGAAATGTGAATTTAATTCTAACTTTAAATTAATAAAACAACAAAAAACTAATTTTAATCATATAACAATCAATTATTACAGTGCTAATCTAATGGTGATTAAATAATCTATATTCAAATACCAGTATCCTCTCCAACTACCAGAAAAACAATTTAACTACTTGAGGCCTAAACAGATTAACAGAATCATATATAGCCTATACTGTAGTATCAAAAATATTTTAAGTATTGCGACCATTGCAACTGTCGGCTACTCTTTAACCACTTGAAAACACCCATAATCAACAAGCGCAGATAGCTCAGGAGGTAAGTAAGAGGCTCACAAGGCGAAGGTACCAGGTTCAAAACCCGTCTGGGCCAAAAACTTTTTTCTCGTTTTTTTCTTCAAAATTTGTGTTTATTAACTATTTAATCAATTTACTAAACTTATAATTAAGCTTTTCATACTAAATCTATATTATTTTGTGTTTTTTATGTTCAGGCCTAGACCACACTTTATCCCAGGGACATCCCATAGTAGTCCCATATGTCCTGAGAATGTCCTGAGGACTACCCTGGGATGACCTCGGATGTCCCACGGATATGTGTGTGAGCTTATCCGTAGGACATCCCCGGGCGGGGACATTAGGCATTCCTGTGGATATCCTGTGATATCCCAAGTTGACCATAGGACCACTATGGGATATCTTGCATATCCTGTCGCAATATCCGTGGGATGTCCTGAGGAGAAAGTGTGCTGTCTGGGACTTATTCCCTATATGGGAAATTTGCTAAAATGGAAGGAAAGGGCAGATGGAAAAAAAGTGTTCAAAGAGGAGTTATGAAAATGTTGAGATCGGATGAAGAAGACACACAGGATCAGAATGGCCCACCATTCTGGGCCATAATGATTCTTGGTGGTGTCAATTGTCTCTTTAAGTAAAAATTGGGAACAGCTGTCCTGTGTTTTCTTAATCATATGTCTTTGCGTAGAATGGTGACCATGTTGAAGTGGCGTAGTTTGCCAGGTTTTGGCAACATTTATGTTGTATTCGTTCTTAGACCTACGGTAACTAAATTTTTATTACATTAGCTACATAACGTTATTTTTAGTTCTTTTTTTGCACAACATTGTTTTGTCTAAATGGAAAAATATTTCTTTATTTACAATTAAATTTGTTATAACAGTTTTATTAAATTTAAACTTCCCTCCATAACCAGTGCCGCATTCCGGTGCATTCCGGCACCATAACACCCCTGATGTTATTAGTTTCTAAAGATAGCTTTTTTAAATTCTTAGTTTTCTTGAATTAATTATGGTATGTATAATTGTAAATGGAATGAAAATTATGTTATTTGTTGATAATGGAATAATTATTGCTAAGCATATGTTACTTGGCAAAACATCTTAAAAAACCAGAGTCCTACACACCTGTTCACGTCTGTCTTTTGTAATGACTTCCGGAGCTAGTTTTCCAGTCATCATCATAACATCACGGAAGTTCAAGGCAGAGTAGTAAATATGAACTAATTCCTTGTTTTCTGGAACAGGATCCCTGAAAACAAAAGCAAGGATCAAACATCTGACATTTAAATGCATAAAATAAATCTCAATGCTTGGTTTTTGATTTCTCAATATGAATTTAAATCCTAAAAAGATTTCCTGAATATAATTTCATGAAGATTATATTGTTATTTTTCTCTTGATAAAATAACAACGCTCTTACATTAGTTGATAAACAGTTTGTGTTGAAAACTTGATTCAGAAAAAGTAACAGCATGCAATCAAAATCATTAGTACATGAATTGGCCATTCTCAAGTTTCCGAATTCTTGTCAGTAAACAATATCCTCAACAGTTTCCAATCTGGATTTCGTAAATATTACAGCACTGAAACAGCGATGCTCCATATAACTGATGAAATACGATTTGCTATGGATCACAGCCAATGCACTATTTTAACCTTATTTGACTTCAGCAAAGCTTTCGATACTGTAAATCATAGCATTCTTCTAGCCAAACTCCAACTTTTAGGTTTTTCTGATAATTCACTAAAATGGATGAGATCATATCTTCAGAGCCGAAAGCAGTGTGTATGTCATGACAACTTGACGTCCGACTGGAGAAATGTTCCCTGTGGAGTTCCTCAGGGTTCAATTCTTGGCCCACTACTTTTCACTGTTTACATTAATGACATTAGTACAGTACTACACCACGTAAAGTTTCATTTTTATGCTGATGACCTGCAAGTTTATTCTCATTTTAAAGTCAGCGATATAAATGAAGCTATAGACATAATGAATCACGACATTGACAACATTGTTCAATGGGCAGCTCAGAATGGACTTAGACTCAATCCTGACAAAACAAAACCAATCATTATAGGTCACTCACGTTTACTAAACAAACTTGAAGAAGACAATTTACCAAAACTCACTGTAAATGGAATTACTTTGCAATATCAAAACAAAATCAAAAGTCTTGGATTGCTGATGAACCGCACATTAGACTGGACCGACGCGGTGGTAGATACTTGTAAAAGAGTATTTGCCGCCATTCACACAATGAAGAAGATGCAACGACTCCTTCCTTTTCACATTAAACTCTTACTGGTCAAATCACTTGTGTTTCCACACTTCAATTACTGCAACACTGTGGTTAATGATATGACTGTGGCTTTGGCAACAAAACTACAACGTGCACAAAATTATTGTATTAGATTTCTGTTTGACCTTAGGCAGGACGACCACGTCACACCTTATTACATAAATGAATCAATTTTTAAATTACCTCAGAAAACTCCGAATACTTTCAATCACTCATTCGGCTATCAATCTTGGAATTCCAAATTACATTGCAAAGAATTTTGAATTTTTGAATGAAAGAGGTGCAAGGGATACTCGCTCTGGCTCGTCTACGTTGCGCATTCCTCGTCACAGAACAACTATTTATAATAAATCATTTGTAGTCACAGCATGCCGCCTATGGAACTCTATACCCGATGCCATTAAATCCATAGAAAACCGATCCCGACTGAAGGCGACACTGAAAGAATATTATCTCAACCGGATGGTAGTGGCGTGGCGGGATGGCGTGCGTTAGGCTTAGCTGCTGCAAAGAGTGTATGTGTGTGTGACTGTATGCTAGGAAAATAAATGTATGTTATGTTGTTTATTATTAATTATGTTACGAAATGTGTATTTTACTTTTGTTCATATCATGTATTATTGTTATTACTATTATTATTTAGAGGTTAACTGTAAGAAAGGACCATGAGGTCCTAAGTTCGCCTCAATAAAGAAGGATTTTTATTTCATTTCATTTTCATTTTTCATTTCATTTCATTTCATTTCATTTCATTTCATTTCATTTCATTTCATTTCATTTCATTTCATTTCATTTCATTTCATTTCATTTCATTTCATTTCATTTCATTTCATTTCATTTCATTTCATTTCATTTCATTTCATTTCATTTCATTTCATTTCATTTCATTTCATTTCATTTCATTTCATTTCATTTCAATTGGCGCATGATCATTGGCGGTGGTTGAATGCTCAAACTCATTGCAAGAGATGTTCATAGTGGACTTATGATTTTATTTTAATTCCAACTGTTTCCACAATTAACTAAAACTAATATTAGTTATTAAAAACAAATGTAAAAATAGGATTTTAGATTTATGCATGATAACATTTTGAAGAAGAACTTGTCAAGCCAATGACTTTACTAAGTAGTAAATGATGAGAAAATATATGAAGTGGTCAGAGCACAACAAATAGATGTAACAAATCATTATAATAACAGCTTAATATATTTGTTAAAAATTAGTTTAAGTGACATGAGTAATGATTAAACTAGTGTAATGACATATAAATCCATTCTACCAATAATTGCTATACAAATTTAAATGATCTTATTTCAATATTACCTGAACCCTAAGGGACCCTGCAACCAAGTAAGGCTGGAGAGGTCCCCTCTAACAACGGTGTTGACAAAACTATGGTCTACATCTTTGGGTTCGAACACGTCAATGGGGAAGTGTCGGTAGCTTCCCCACTGTCCATCCTTGAATACGTTGATAGCCAGGTTCTTGGAAATTTGATCTTTATACATATCGTTGTCCAGTGAAAACTCTGGAGCATTTTTATCCATGACAAATACGCACCTGGAATCAACAAATTAGTTTCACATGTAGTCTCAATGTATGATCAAAATAAACTTAATGCTATTCAAGAATCTTGTTTGGTCTATTTGTCGAGAGGTATAACTATTTTTACTAACTGAATGTCCCAAACAAACTTTGAAGCAACTAAAGATATGACTAAAGCTACAAATTCAGGATGATGCAGAATGTGTGTAAGTAAATGAATAAATATATTTGGGTTAAATGAACGTAACTTTAAAAGACAACGCTGGTCATCATCTAATGGTCTATTATTGGTTTGGCAAAATAAGGAGGGTTGTTTTCCTACTAATATTACTTTTCAGACAAATCATTTTGATTTAATTTACGTTTATTGTCATTTACTTATCATAATGGATCAGCATATATACCATCAGGGATGTATGGAACGTACATGAAAAAGAACGGAACAGAAATAAGATTTTCAGGGGGAAACAATAAGATTTTCAGAGAATCAGAAAAACAAGGAGGGAAAGAGTTAGGAATGCAGAGATCAGGAGAGGGGTAGTTAATAATGAATAGCTTAGGGGAAATAGAAAAGGCACAACTAAAATGGTTTAGTCCTGTAAGAAGAGTGTGAGAAAAGAGAAGTCCAAGGGAAATTAAATTGGTGGCAAGAAACAGAAATGAACCAAATATAAGATCTACAGGAAGATGTATATGAGGGGAAAGGGGATCTGGGGAAGACATAAGTTAGATCACAAGGTAGAGGAAGAACTTTGGAAGGGAAACCAAAACTGAAGATAATAAGTGTGTAGGTAAGGATCAGTGGTTACTAAACAAGACTAATTGAAATTTCTAAGGATAGATCAAAACAAATATTTACACAGCTCGATCTCCACCGGGTTCTTTTCTGATACAGTTGACTAGTCCGATGATTCCATTGGTTTCCTCTTTCTCAGCATACAATACTACTTTCTTGGTAGCAGCGTCTTTCAATGCAGCTTGGATTTGAGGCAACCATGAATAGTTTTCTGAGGTTACCTTGATAGCTAGTTGAGCAGGCTTAGCAGTTGAATCCTATAAAATTTATTTTACTTTTAAACAGTTCAAATTATTATGACAAATGATCAAGTATGGTTTGGGTTCACAATTTTGTATTAAGAGCTGGAAAGTACAAAAAGTATGTATAGTATGTGATAAAAAATTGCATATCAGTTAGTGGTTTATAACTTTAAAATGCTATATTAAATCACAAAAATTAATAAGACTTTTTGAAAATCATGTTTAAAGATGTGTTGAATAAATAGCACAAGAATATGTTGAATCTATCATAGCATAAACTTCCAACCATATCACTGTTTAGGTGTAGTTGCAAAATACTCCTGCGAGTCATAAATCAGTTTTTTAAGTGGTTTCTTGAGTTATAAAGGTGTAGATATGTAACGAGCCTTTTTCCTAGTGGGATGAATTTTTGTTGTTTGGCAGATTATAGCCGATTGTTGAGGTAAGCAAGCGGCGACGGCGAAGCTAGCTAGCGCCCTTTGACCCGGCTTATCAGTTCTGATAAGCCTAGGGTATCCTTCAGGACAGTATAGGACGGACATTCCAGTCGTGGATTTGGGGCAGTGAGTTGGTGTCTGGTGGAGATGTCATCGAGTGCTAGTGTGCAGTGGACATTATAGTGTCGTCGGTGGTGTAACTGTACAGAGTGGTTGGAGTTTAAGTTGGGTATAGACCCGCAAGTGTTGAGTGACGATTTTCCTTTAATTTTGGTCTAAGATTTGATATTTAATATTAATTAATAATATTAATCTCTGATTTTATTACAAGGGTTAGAGTTGTAGCCATGCTGGTATAATCTTGATACAGTGTTTTAGGCACTCTGGGCCTAACTATTGGATAGTTAGGACGAGTTGCGTAGTTAGCAACGACCCCCTAGGATAGTGGAGAGTCGGCGTAGGTCTGGTGGTGATTATTGCACGTTTGTTTGGTGGTGACTTGTTTTTACTTGTTCACAGTGCCCGTGTATAAGCCAGTCCTATACCGGATAGACCCGGCTTTTGGCCTAGTGGTTTCCCTCGTAGCAGACCCTGGAATTTTACCCAGCCATTGTAAGCTGAGCTATCCTCGGCAAACATTTGTGACTGCACATTGTTTTTTTCCAGTGCAGGAAGTATCATTGCAACTAACTAACAAGACTATGATTGCAATTTTTAGTAGGAAAAAATCATTTGTGAAAAATTTAAGTAAAGGAAATAAAAGTTAAAAGTGTTAGGCTGCCAAAATAAGGTAATTTATCAGTACAGTTCACCTTTTTACTGTACCGGCTCATTCCTTGCTTTGCTGTAAACATTCCACGCACGGGTGGTTAGTCTATTTGGACTGACAAATGCAAGAGGCCGCCAACCTCTAAAAAAAAATAAATAAAAAAATAGTGAGTTTAAGATAGTTTAAATGTTATTATTAAAAATATAAAGATATGTATGGCAATTAAGGATTAATTACCTTTTTAATCAAAATTATCCGTTCACTTTCAATTACACGTTCCATGCAGATAGTGTATCCACTTTTTTCAGTTTTCTCATTTACTTTTTCTCTTATGATGATAAATCCATCTTCTTTAACAGCAGCAAGACAATTTTTGAGAACCTGGAAAAGTCAAATTTAAATCAGCTCGAATCTTTGCTAACAAGTTTGTAAATAAAACTATTTTTGTTACAAAATCATTTGTTGGTATAATTTTCCTTAATTATGCAATAACGTCATTTTATACAGCACATTCATAAAAGTACATTTTTATACCTATTACTGAAGCACCCAAAGCATTAAAGATATAGTGTAAAATCCAGATATGAATGTGCCTCATGAAATAAATGGTATAAGAATAATAAAAGGCTTCTATATTACATTATAAATTATTACTAATGTTTTTTTTTTTACATAAATAAAACTCCATCAAACAGTGTCAAACTCTACTGATCAATGTACTGATGATTAAAAACAGTGAAGTATTTACAGTATAAGACAAATGAATGAGTCAGTTTTTATTGTAGTGATTCTTGAACTAAAATTATCTGGCTCATCAGCCAAATTCACTATCATTGAGCTACAGAGTTTATTGCCTTTAGACTAAAGGCAATAAAAAAACTAATTTAAAAAAACAAATTTAAAAAAACAAATTTAAAAAAACGAAACTGAAATATAACATTTTAAAAACGAATTTAAAACTGTTTTAAAAAACGATTTTTAAAATGTAAAAAAACATTAGTAAAATTGTTTAACCTGAAAAGAATCCAAACTTTCAATTATTATTATAACAGTTAATAACATTGAAATTAGATTTTGAGACTGTGATGATTAGTCGCCAAAATTATTTTCTAAATCTTGGGATTATTTTTTAAAACTAAACCAGTGTCTGATTATTGGCACATATAAACACAGTTATTCTTAATGACATGTAACCTACTTAATCGATCGAATCATTGTACCCATTGGTCTCAGTAATTGCAACTTGGAGACACTTAGGCTTTAGTTAAACCGAGAGGTTCACATTTGGCCCTAGACTATCTCACGGAGCACTTCATTTTTTTGGTAAGACTACATGTTTATTACTTTATCGATATAAATATTTAGATAGATCGGGTTAACCACCAGTTTTAGGTTGGTGGTTGTCTGATATTAATTTGTATTGTTATTTTAAAATATAATATATTTTCTTCAAACAGCCTTAAATGAGAAAGTGATAAATATATTCCTATTTTGAGACATGTAGGCAAGAATTATTATAATTAGTGCAGCTCAGTAATTGAATTTTATTGTCTAACTTCAATGAAAGGAGCCTGTAGAATATCCATTTTATTTAGATTGATTTAATGTCATTAGTTTTTGATATTTTTAAAAATTAAAGTTGTTCATCTCCCACTATAGTTACTTTGATTGAACATGATCCCTGTTAAACTCCGAGTCAAAACAAAACCGTGCCACTATTATTAGGTTAAATCTGCTGATGAGTTAGGTACCTCAGCTCTGCTCGGAGAGAAGAGATCAGAAGCCACGACTAACACAGCAGATTGGTCAGTTGTAATCTTCTTGTCTTCCACAACAATGTTCGGACCGATGTCCACAACTTTGGGATTATCAGCAGGAGATAACACTGTGATATCAGCCTGCATTGGGAATACAAATTAAAGAGATTATGATAAGAAAAATTATTTTGAAAGTACAGTAGTAGAACTCAAAGTCTTTTAGCTGAGACTGTGACAGTACATGAAAAGAATTTAGGATTCCAGCAATGGTGTTTTTGTTGAAAATATGAAATAATACACATTGCAGAACACATACATGAGAATACACGAAGATGTAAAAACAATTCCTTTGACACATTGCCTACCACCGACCACTTTCCACTGTACGAGGGAATTTGTGAGACCTGGTAGAAGATCTGAACATTTTAACAACATTAAAATGTGTTAGGCCTATTTATTATCTTATTTTGTATAGTACTCTCTGTCAAAATGAGGATTGTGTTTGAAATAAGATTGTGTACTCTAAGAAAAGTAGTTCAACAAAATACAAAACAATTAGAATCATCATACCTGAATGAGAGGAAGGTCTCCAAGAATTTGTAAGATGGCTGGGGAAAGTAGAGTGGCGTCCGGATTGCAGCTACTATCCAGGACTTCAACAACCTTCACTTTAGTGGAAGAGACCTGCTCGAGGGCCAAGTGAACACACATTCTGGTGAAGGTGCTCAGGTCAGTGTCCTGAAAGTTAAACAAACATCAGTCTTCATGTGATAAATAAATACATACGAAAATAAATATTACAAAATTGCAGTCATAAACAATTTTAATAATTTAACTATTTCTCTGTAAATTAAATCAGTGTTGAGGTCATGAATTCACCAATTTAGACTTTTTTTAGATATACCATTACTATAATGATGAAAATAAAAGGTATTAATGTGAATCAATACCTCTATTAGGGTCAGTATGATATTTAAAATGACTCCAACCAGACATCTGTCAACCCAATATTTTCAATACTAGTTATTTTTTACAAAATTTCACAGTAATCAAAACTATAAAATAAAATTCTGTCAATATATGAATTGAGATATACTGTACTGTTATTATTCACTTACTTGTTCATTAGTGACATGAGGGAAGAACTCGTACTTCTCAAGTACTGGTTCTCCAAGAGGCTTTCTTCTAGAGATAGCACTGGCTTTGAGACCTTCAATTTGGACTCCACCAGATTTGATCATATCTAGATACTCATACACATACACGGGAACCTCTGAAAAGTCAAAAGTAATAACATTTTAACACTATTCAAAATTAACAAAAATACTTTTTACTAATACTTACTTACTTACTTTTCACTTGCTGACATTTTGTGTCAGCAAAATAAAGGTTTGCTACACAAACAGAAAAAAAAACTTGAAACAAATCATTTGACTTTGTTTGAGGTAATTTTTTTGTGATGGGGAGTTGATGTTATTTATTGAACTTGTTCGCCAACTTGAATCAACAACATACCCTACCTAGTTAGTAGCTATGTTTTAGATATGTTTTTGTAGATACAGTAGACCCCCTCTTAACCGACCTCGTATCAACCGATAATCGGATTATCCGTCTTCGATCATAAAATAATAGTTTGTTTTAACCGACCTTGCTTTGAAGGCAGTTCGTTTTAACCGCCGCTTCCTAGGAATCTCGGCGTTTCCGCTCCCACGCTGGGCGATGAGAACTGAACCATATGCTTATCTCCACAGGATATGACTAACAATAAGTTATTTTGTGTTGATCACAAAATATATAGCATAACCTATTGTCAGTTAGTCATCATCGTTCGCAGCTCGAGCACATCTTATCTGATTTGTTATCTGTGCGGCAAATTTATAACATCATAAAGTGCGTTACGATTTTGAGAACTGATTTTCTTATCGCCGGAGTAAACAAGCAACGCAACTTGTAGGGAAGGCAGGGAAAGGGGTTAACAACTCCAAGGCCAAGATAGTTTTTGTGCCTCGAGCCTCCAGTGAGAGGCTATAAATAAACGTCCTGTCTTGTAACAAAATGGTCGCTTGTATCTTTAATGTCGACAAAAGGTTCTGTACTGTATTACGATGTATTTGGAAAGTATCAATTCATACATTACAGTACTAAAGTTATTAAAATAGGAATTGTATTGACTCTTGCCTAGTATTACATTATATTCCACTGAAAGTAGGCCTATTTGACTTAACCGTGTTTTGTGTTTATTTGTGACTTTACTATCAATATTAAAAAGGAGATAAGAGTAGTTTATTTTATAAATAATGCAAGTATGACGTCAAAATAATGATTACATAATTTCAAATAAATAGCACTTCATTATGTTGTGATTTTAGGGATTGCTCGTTTTACCCGACCTTTTGAGCTATCCGACCTAAGTCCGGTCCCATTAGGGTCGGTTAAGAGGGGGTCTACTGTACACTGTAAGAATGGAAAGGGTCATATAAAGGTAATCATTGACAATGTTAATCTATATGGGATGGAAGAAGGGAGTACAGTAAGGTGTTATCATCAAAGAGGTAGATAGATATCAACACTCTGAATAACTGAAGAAAGCTCTTTGAGAAAAACTTGGAACAACACCAGAAAAATAGTTGTGCCTGCAAATTGTTTTTTTAGTAGAAAGCATCCAAAACCACTACTCCTTTTTCTTCTATATAACTATTTGGTAGCATATTTTGGAATCTGGAATCTAATCCCATCCTTTGATGAGAACGTGTATTAAAATGAAAATGTAATTGTTATAGAAAAAGTCTACAATGATTTCCTTAACGATGTTAAAAAAATAGTTCTAGTTTGAGTGTTTTTAATAATAAGCTTATAACTGACCTTTCTGCTCTTCTGGGAGGGAGAACAATGTTTGGACATGTTTCTTGATGTCAATGACTAGTTTTTGAATTGAGGTAGGTACGAACAGTCCCCTAGTGTCTTCTCGTACAATTTGCATCTGAAGCATGTTATCCATGAACGCCACCCAGTTGTTGTGCCACAAGATCTTACCGATTGAACCTGTAAGAACATTTTTTATAAAAATATTGTGCTTCATAGTCTTTTATATTTCATTAAACTCACTATTTTGCCTATAATCTTCTCAAATAACAGGGGTAGCCATCTATCACCCAATTCTGTATCTAGTTAAATATTAAATGATTTGTATGAAATTATTTGAAAATTGTAAGAAATTGTTTGACTTCAAGATATTTGTTATAACCATTTGTGTGTGATGGTCCAGTAAAATATGATATCTCTAGCTTAGCTGTGCTCTAAGGAGCAGTTTGAAAAATCCTCAAATTTGAGAAGGGTAAATAGATAGATAGAATAATTTAGAACAGCAAGCTGGTTGCGCTTGCGCTTTAGAACTCTTCCCTCACCACCATCGCTTTTTATTGTACAATTATCTCATAACTGCTATTATAGTAGGGGAAGAGTAGTGGTGGAAATTTTCTGTCTCCCTCACACTATCCTCCCTACATGCCATTCCAAATTACACGATTGTTACAATGATTAGAGAAAAAAAAACAAAAAAGTCTGTGCCAATCTGAGATACAAATGGTTAGTAATTAAGGCTTTTTTTGTAACAACATACCAGAGTTATTTGCTTGGGTGACACTTCTGAAAAGTCCCTTGTAGTTGTATCCTCTCAATCTAAGTTCTTTGTAGAAGTCTTTGCCACTCAAAGGCAACAGTGAAGGTGCATCTTCATTCACTGGAGGGTCTAGTGTTACCATTTCTCTATTGATGTTTTCTGGCACGTAAATCTTCCCAGTTACAATTGCAGCACCTCCTTCAACGATCTCAAAGTTTCCACTTCCTTTCTGTACCATTACGATGAAGTCCAAGCCACCTGAAAGTTATATGATTTTTATTTATTTTTAGACTCATTTCAATCAAGATGAGTTGATCAGTTGACATTTTGTTGGCATTATAGTTTTAAATGCTTCAAATTTATATTTTTCTTCGGGGTATATCAAATTAACTATTTATGCTATATTATGATGTTCAGTTATAATAAGAGGATGGTTACCATCTTTGGGAAGGTTTGTAGCTCGGTGGAATCGAACATCCTCAAAGACCACTGAGACATCAGTAAATAGCTCTCCTCTCATTAAACCAACTGTCTCCCACGCTAAAGCCTGAAAAAGGATAGAGGTAATAGTTAGATTTATGGAAGAAGATATTTAAGCATGATACTGAAATTGTTCTATGAAAAATGTGTAGGTATGGTTGAAATGGAAAATATTGAATAGGTTTACTTGCCACGGCCCTTAGAGGCTGCAGGTTTCAATGAATATTAATTTAATTTAGGCTATATTTTCTTCTTGAGGAAAAATTGTGTAGACTACTCACACCAAAAAACCTGCTGTTGGCGTAGGTCTCTGGTGGTGAGTAGAATGAAAATTATAGCTTATAATTATCCAAAACATCCTTAATTAATGTGATGTTAATTAATCTTGCATCAGCACTAAATGCATATAGACTGGTGCTGTAGTTAAAAATGTTACTACCTACAAAGGTATCCATGCGGCAAAGGTACTGTACAAATCATACAATTTAGTAACAATATAACAATAACAATAAATATTAAAACTCAAGTTGAATGTATTATGATATTACCAGGTATCCAGTAGCAGGGTAAAGGTTACGGCCATCAATGATATGGCCACCAAGATACTCCAGTTCATCGTCTTTCAAGTTAATGTTGACAGTCCTTTCTCCAGACTTTATTTTCTCCTGCATACGGTATGAAGTGACATACCAGTCTTCAGAATGCTCCCACCTGACTAACGGGGCAATCATGGGAGTTCCACGGGACACAGGCAAAGGAACCTCAGGGTATAGATTGGCAAACTGGGGATTAACTCCCACCTCATAAAGCCTGAAAGAAAAATAAATTGGTTTAGATTTAAAATTTGGTCACGCCAGAAAATTTTACTTAAGTTATATAATAAATGATTAATGGGTAGTGTTAAATTATTGTCAATGATCTTTTTAATATAAATGTCACAGAAATTATAGCAATGTAAAGAAAATTATTTTTGAATTCTTATGTTTTTAAAGACATCCAGGTCTTTTAAGTAGTTCTGGTATTGAAGATTATTTTACTTTGTAAATATTACAATTAAAACCAGCTGTAATTTTGATTACAATATGGCGCTACTGATTGAAGAGAATGGAATGTGGTGTTGGTTTATGGCTAAAAAGCAAAGATGCATATACAGCTCAGTTGCGATCACAAATAAAAAGCAAGTTGCGCAGGAATAATTGTGAACACGTCGTCACAAAATAAGTACTCCTTGCGTATCCAGTAATATATGGCAACCAAACTTTGGATAAATATAAACCTCCCTTTATTTCCTATAAACCACAGCCACTTTTCTATCTCTTAAAACAACAGCACCTCTACAATGTGAATTTAAAAAGAAAATTTACGGTGCCTTACTCTTCACCCTATTCCTCAAATACTTAACTTCAAACACAAGATAATACTTACTTTCCCAAAGCTGTGACCAACACCACAGAGTTGTCTGGGTTGTCTTTCTGGGTAAGAGGAATGTTGACAACTTGTTTGTCAAGGGAGCGACGCAGGATGGCTTGAAGGAGGCCATGAGGAGCAATCTCTATAGCAATAGCTCGAGCTTGAATATGCTTGGACGCTTCTTCAAACAGCACTGGACTCAGTAGATTGTTGGTATGGTAGTCCGCAGAGCATAGCTTGGCTAGGGGAGAGTCCCACTGTGCCTCAGGGACGGAACTGCTGATCCATCTTGCGGACCTGGGCTTCGGGTTGGGGATCACCTGGAGACAGTCATGACAATATGACAGATATGAGATATATATGAAAAACTTCTCATTACTACTCAGAGTCAGATTTTACCTCAATTTATCCTAATGATCAAGTATGAAATTGAAGGAAATATTGAGAAGAACAAGATGAATTTTTTGATGTTAGGTACAACCAGGCTGCAGAAATAGGTCATCTAAAACACAGCTCCATGTCCATGTCCATTGCAAAAATTTACTACAGTTATCATTGCCTACAAACCCTAACTATCCATTTAACTTAAAAAGAATCATGAACCTACACTGACATAATACAAAGTACAATGTCTTCTTTTCTCCTAATTTTACACCAAGAGAAAAGATTATTTATAAAGCTATTCAATACTTGATAAAACCTATTAATTCCCATGATTTTCAAAAGAAAATTAAAACTATATTCATTATTCAGGATTTAACTAAGAGGAAGGTAGTCTCACTGTCCTTTTTTGGTGACACCAACTCTAAAGAAAATGTCTTGCTGTTTTCCTAAATTTTCAGTTTATTGAATTTGTAACTTCCTGTCAATATATTTGTTCCAGTCTGTTATTCAAGGCTTTTAATATTTAAAAATAAACTTACCAGCTACGAGAAATACATATGATGAATGATAGGTTATATTCAACAACAAGAAACCATATCAGCATCTAGTTACCTGTTTCAAATAAGAGAGGAGCTTGGGTCCGGCAGGAGCAATATATCGGCTGTGGTATGCGATGTTGGCTACATTCACCTCTCGGGCAAAGATCTTCCGCTGTTGGAGTTTAGCCACAAATGTTTGAACAACAGGAGCAGGTCCAGAGATGGTGCAACTTCCAGCAGAGTTATGACAAGCCACGTCAATTTCTGGGGGAAGGAGCTCCTTGATGTCATTGTAGCCCATACCTAGAGATTGAGCGACACTTTACTGGTATGATCCTAATTTGATTTGTTCCATGTCTTAATTTTCTCGTCATAGCAAACTACTTAACAACTGTTATTTACTTAGGCTGAAGGAAGATAAATCTGAACTAATCATCCATCATCACTAACTAATCATGTAGTTATGAATGCCGGTTCAAACTTAAAAATATTATAACCCCTAACTATTGTTCAAACTAAAACAAACCGAGAGATTCTATGAGTTCTTAATTCATTGAAGTTTGTTTTTGGTTATGGTAAGTTAGTGTTATTTTAAGGACATTTTCTATCACAATTGTTCAAAAATACCCCTGCCGCAGCTAACCTGTCCACTAAGCGAATTTCCATTTGTCTGAATTGATTTTCAATTAAATCTACTCAAATAACATTAGGATTAACGAGTACCTAAGGTTTGCTGCTACAAGGAAACTAATAAAATGTGGTTTTTAGTCAAATATTAATAGCTTAGTATAAAATAAATAAATTTGCCAAGTTTGATTAAAATACTTCCGTAAACAAGCAAACTATAACCATTGAGTATACACATTACGTGTATACTCAATGCTATAAAATTTTACAATATTCTTTATAAGAATAACATGGGAAGTTTAAATGTTAATTTTTTTAATTTTTTCCTTTACCAATAACCGTACAAAAATAAATTTGCCAAGTTTGATAAAAATATATCCATAAACAAGCAAACTACAACATTTTACAATATTCTCCTTAAGAACAACAAGGGAATTTTAAATTTACAATTTTTTAACTTTTTCCGTTACCAATAACCGTATAAAACACTTTGATATACTAAATTATTATTTTTTAAGCTCTTTAAAAAGGTCTAGAGAAAAAGTAAAAAATTTTGTGTTTTGAGGGTCAAAAATGAGAAAAACTAATTTTTGCCCCATAAAACCTCCCGTAAAACCCTATTCCCATTGTTTGATCATGCTGGTTCGCGAACTCATTCAAGTTTAATCTGCTTTATGTTTATACCTTTAAAACAAATTTCATCAAAATCGGACAAAAATTACTCGAGTTATCGCGTTCACAGACACATATACTGTATAACTCGATATAAATAATAAATAAATATATACAAATTTGAACGAATTGTGTTTTTGGCCGACATCAAAATAACAAAGTAAATGGGTCCCGGGCCTAGGTCTTACCGTGCCACCTACGGTAATAGCTACTTCCTTATAGGGAAGTTCGCTAACAAGTTTTCACCATGTGCAATCGAGAAAAATAGTTTATTCCTTGACACAACAAAATGTCTGCAAAATACCTTAAATACCAAACAGTCTGATAACTGACAGTTTAAAATAAATATAAAACTCCTGCTGTACTAAGCTAACCGCTTAATCCATTAAACATCCTTACCTAACTTAGGAACAGGAACAAAGACATTGTTACCATAAAAATAAACTAGCTATGGTTGAGACCTATTTTTATTGGAAGTCAATGGCTGTAGTAAAAATTCTAGTTGGCTGGGACAAAATCTCAAATGTTTTTTTTTTATGAACTAGAATACAAAAAAATTCACAACATAACCTATTCTTTCAAAAAATTTGAAAGAATTATCAACATTTTATGATCAGTTTCAGTTCTGAACTGGGAGCAGCTGTTCTACTAAATAGAACTCAGGAAGCTTTTTTCTGGAGACCCAAGTTCAAATCCTGCCAAGAACCAATAGCTTTTAGAGAAAGCTCTACCCAATGGTTAAGAGAGCACATGCATCCATCTAAAATAAAAGAATAGGCCTTTCAGACAAAGAAAGCACCCGCTAAAAAGCAATATCCTAATTATTTTATTTTTTTAAACAAAGAACTCACCAACAGCAGCCATTGCCCCAGTGATAAGTTTTGATTCCAAGGATGCAAGACCTCTGTAGTACGCAGCCAGAATCATCTGCTCAGCTGTAAAGCAGCCATCAGCGTAAGCGCAGCCAAGCTCACCTACTGAGTGACCTATCAGATGGTCCGGTTTGACTCCCACGGTTGTCAATACATCCACCAGACCAATCTGTAATATATAGGTAGGAATGTATACACCGAGTAAATGATCTCAGCTGTTGACCAAATTACTTTTCAAGTAAACTCTACTTTCATATCGAACACTGCAGCTCAGTAGTCTCTTGGGGTAAGAAAGCAGACATTGCTTACATTCGATACCAGCCACCTGCAATATCTTACCTCTGCCCATGTGACTTATGCCATAAAGCTTCTTTACATTCCTTAGATCACTGCAAAGACCAGTGGTCTATGGAGGAGGGCAGTTAAAATTTGTTTGATAAAAACATATCTTACAAACATATTTGGTTTTTGAACAATATTTTTTATTGTAAATCTCATATACATAAGATGTCTCTTTGATACATAAGAACTTCAGCAAGTGTTGAAAATCCACCGACATACATTTCAGCCTACGGTGGTTATTCTTGCTTTGTTTTTTTGTGTGTATTGTGTATTTTATTGAGTTATATGTTTACATTGAGTACATTTGTAACAAAAAGAGACAATTAAGTTTTCAGTTTTCATATACATGATTTATTAACAACATAAATATTCTAATTATTCCATTATATTTACTTAAGTTGTCATCTGTATATTACTATTATTTTACCTGTATAGCTGCAATTCCAACAAAGGAGTTCAGAATATTGTTGAAGATCTTTGGGTCTGGGTCACTAATGATTCGAATCAGATCAACACCCTTTGGTTTCAAAATCTGGTGACATTTGTGGATTGCTGCAGCAAAGACTGGAATCTTCATGAGGGTTGCTCCCATTCCTGCCCATTGGGAGCCCATTCCAGAAAACACAAACCACACTGGCCTCTTGTCTCCAGGGTAGTACTGAAAAGTTTGGAAGGTACATTGTTAATTAGAAACAATATTTGAATGATAACATAACAAACCTTAATCACTTTGAATAACATTTTTTAGTGAAGTGATTTAATTCCATTAATTAAGCTGTATTATTAAATTTTTGATGTTCCTTGCACCAAAAGTAGTAGAATTTATGTACAAGAGTAATTTTTATAAGATATTATGTATGAAACATAAGTCCTCTGCTTGAAATTAAGTAAATAAAATCACCTAAAAAGTTTGTGGCTATTAATTCTTTACCAAGGAAAGCAATAGTACAGCAGGGGTGAAGTTTTATCTTTATTTCATCAAATATAGATATTTAAACTGCCAAAGCTGTTTTTACCTTAATTGAGCGCATTCGGGCAGTGTTGTTTGGTGTAAGCACAGTGAAACCTCGGAAGATATGCCCGGGAATCTCATCCGTGTGAACACAGTGAAGCAGCTTTACAAACTCTATGTCAATGTTCCTGGATTCAACCTAAAAATATTTGTGCATAAAAAAATTTTTGTCTCAGAAAATAAAAAATGATCCGTTGATATTTGCAATAGTAGCATCAAGTATGATTTACATTACCTGAAACATCATTTAGGATGTTCCACCTATTCCTTGGGAAAATTTATTATGAAAATTTAATTAATTTAACACGTTCGCTGCGGGCCATCAAATGGCAGGCGTAGCCCCAGTGCGGCGCAGCCCGCAGCGTCGAACAAACCCGATTGCCGGGTGTTTGGCTCTCATATTTTGGTATGACGAATAGCAAATAACGTGCGGTGATGTCCCGTTTTATAACAAGAGTCGACGTAGTTCGCTAAACACTCACATATAGCAGCACTGCTTGGAACGTAGTCGGTCCCATCGTATTGCCAATTTGAGGGAGAAAGACGGGACAACAAGTTGATTTTTAAGTTTGCCAGACGGGGATTTTATGGGGAAATTTTACTACCAACCTACAACACAACAAAAAGAAAGTCACCCACTACACGCTAACGTGGAATAGGTCTGCCTTCGACCGACGCTAGAGCAAAAACGATGATATACGAAAGGCATTGCCGAGCGTATCCGATCGGTTACGACAGCGTCTGAACAGCGCTCGGCCCGTATCCGATCGGATACGCCCGCAGTGAACGTGTTAAAAAGCTTTGTAAGCATTGTCTGCTTAGGAACTCATAAACATTTTTAGGGGGAAATGTTATTCTATGCTTTATCATTTATTTGACTTATTCTCTAAATGGTTATACATTTGATGTTTTTTATAGAATAGATTAATGCACAATTCCATTGTTATACACTTTTAAGCTATTTAACAAACATTTAATAATTTATGAGTTGATCTAAAATAGTCTTTTTCTATGTATAGCAATGAATCATTCAACTTCTACCGAGCGTACATTCAATGTAACTTTGGAACGTGATAAACTTCAATAGCTTTTTGATGGTTCAAAACTAGATCCAAATGTCATTGATTGGGCTCAGTAATTGGTTCTGCCTATAGGTAGTAAGTTTGATTCTACAGAACCAGCTCATCTTAGAGTAACTAACAACGCTATTCAACACTACTACTTCACTCGTCTTCAACTTAAAATACGCTCCCTAGTGTATAGGTGTCATATAAATTTAATCAAATCAAATTTAGGGCAAGATTTCATTCATGCCCAATCCAAACATATTTTAACATCATGAATTTTTATTCCACTTCAAAAATACTTTGTAGCAAGTTCTTGATTTTTTAAGCTTTTGTGAGTGACGACTTACGTCTGAGAGAATAGTGTCCACGGCAACTTCAGTTCTTCCTGAGGCAGGAACCACTCTTGGTATGTCATCGTTGGGAGCTCCTTTATTCACCTTAGCCTTCTCATTCCACTTCAATAGAACGTGGCAATTAGCACCTCCAAATCCAAAGGAGTTGATACCCACCATGCCTCCACTCCATGGCGTTTTTTCAGTGACAACCTGGAAAATTTTATATTTCGCATAAATGGTAAAGCCTGTGAAATCCAATTTAAATAGCTCAAATAAAAAAATACAAGATTTGATCACGTTTCACTATGTTTGTATCAGTACTTTGTAATTTGACACTCAGGGCCGTAAAACAATTGGTTACGAAATTATAGTTTGAACTATTTTTTTAGAAACTATTTTAATCCATTGTAAATTGAAACATATTTAATTTAAAATACATTATGTTATTTAAAAATGGTTATTAATCTATTTGACTGGGCAATAGACAAAACATTTAATTTATTCTTTCCATTGCCAGTGAAAATCAAAATCATTCATAGACTATCTTGTTAACTATCCATGATTGATTTGATCCATTTTTTAAATAGTGAAAAGTGAAATAATCTGCTTGGTAGAGAGTTCCAAGATTATAAGACTTATTTGACAAAGTGTGATTTTTTAATTTTGTTGTTTTAGTCTAATTTATTTATGTAGGTAAGCTTTATTTATTGGTATGAGTAAATATGTCACTTTTTTATACTATGACCTAAAAAACTGTATTTCTCGGAATTGAAATAAAATATGGGGAACACTAGAGGCTCAAATAAAATCATCAAGTAAACTTTAATAAAACCTACGGAGATTTTTCCATTGTAGAAAGCTTCAATGTCCTTCCGAGGGACTTTGAGGTTGATGTTTGGAGGGATGAAGCCAGTCTCCATGGCGATGAGGACTTTAGTGACTGAACATAACCCGGAGGCAGGCTCCGAGTGACCGATGTTGGACTTGACTGAGCCGATCATAAGAGGGGATGATCGCCCGGGACAGAACACGTTCTCCAACGCTTTTACTTCCTCTGGGTCTCCAACCTAAGAAACACAGAACAGTTTGAGTTTCTATCTACATTAATCTAATGGTTGCTTTGATGTGAGGAATCAAGCTATGTAAAATGTCTGTAAGCATATACAATATAATTACAAATCTGTCCTAAAGGGTATCACCTTGAATTCAATCCATGATTCCACTTGACTATCAGGACGCCCCACCATGGGGATTGAGTGTAGTATGTAGGATTTTAGTGGTATATTGATTTAATTTTGGAATAAATAAACTGTATATTTCTTATATTCCAAAATAAGAAAGACTTTTTTGTTCTTTCACAATCAATAGCAGTTATAAAGAAAAGGTACATACCTAACCAATGATTCACACCTGACTCAACAAGGCACTTTTGCTACATGAAATGGCATCTAAAAAAATGCATTGTCATAATGTAAATTTCAGAGAGGCAGAATGGCTTTAGTTTGATTGATATTTAATCTTGTTTAACACCCTTATTGTTACATTTGTGAAATGTCAGTGAAAGGTCACAGTGAAATCTTTTAGTACCTTGTATTGAAATAAACACAATTTAAACTCTTTGATGATAAAGGCTGTATGTTGATAAAATCAAGTTCTTTGACATACACAGTTTTTATTCCAACAAAGTATTGCCACAAGATATAGTATTTACTTTACTCTTTTACTTTCTAAATGTACCTTCGTTCCAGTTCCGTGAGCCTCAACCCAAGCAAGGGATGAAGGGCTAAGTTGACATTCTTCGTAAAACTCTTCTAACAACCTCTGTTGAAGAGGACCTGACGGAAATGTGATACCCTGTTCTTTGTAACCATCACAGTTGGTCTTAGCATGAACAACAGTGGCATACACTCTTCTTGCATCTTTGGCCTTCTGTAGGTATATTATACAGACAGCTTCTGATCGGCAGTAACCGTTAGCTGTTGAAAAACATTTATTAACTTCAAGTTGTTGACATAAAGTACAGTTACCATAAAAATTAAGTTCTAAAAAAACATTGGAATTGGAACAAAAAAATATACATTATTTGGTTATACGTCTCCATATTATTTAAATAAATCTTAAACATACTTTTTTAGTAAAACACAATGGAGATTTTTTTTATGTACTGTCGTTTGCTTTATATACTTAATGCACATGTGTCGCATCTTATAAGAAATGTTAAATCAGTCCAACGCAAAATGTTGCTAGCATCCCCTTGCAAAATGTTGCAAGGGGATGCTTAATTTTTTAAGATACCAATACCGGTACTCCAAATTACACTGCTAATAATTATGTAGACATAAGGTCCAGAGGCCTTAAAGTTTGTTTTTGGAATAGCAGACTTTTCTGAAAGGGAAAAATTGTACCCTGGGACAAAATATACAAAACTATACACTAGACTTAATAACTACCATTTTTCACTGTTTTCAAACAATGATGTTTTTAGTAGGGAAGCTTACTATGCAACTGCTAGTTGCTGTCAGTGTAATTGGTATAGATTCTCACCTGATTCATCAAATGATTTACATCTCCCATCTGTGGAAAGCACACCAAGTCTAGCAAACTGCAAGGAGACGTAAGGATGAAGACAAAGGTTACAACCTCCCACGATGGCTGCATCGCAGTGGCCGTCTCGTATAGACTTGTAAGCGTGCTCCATCGCGTAAAGACTCGAAGAACACGCTGAGTCCACCGTGTAACTGGGACCTGTCAACAATCTCATCTTAGTTAACACTATTACCGGAATCTCTGGTCTGACAGGCCCACGGGAATTTTCCAAAGCTTGTTGGCAACACTGTTTACTTGGGGGATTCCAATCCCCCAATACCTTCCCCCCTTTTCTTCCCCTACCTGTTGATATATTGTTTGTTCATTTTGCGTGGGTGCCATGACCTTGACAGGTTGTTTGTTCATAACGTGCCTGTCTCAGAAGCCCAGCATTGGTGTATTTTAAAGCAGGGTCTCAAAGGCCAAGGGTTTCGGTTTCTAAGTGAGGTCCATTGTGGGTTTCGGTTAGCATCAGCCTGGGTAGGGTTTTGGTATTATTTTTAAGTTTGTCATGATTGTATGAAGAAAATGTCCCAGCTAAAATTTAAATGAGGGTTTAATAATGTGGCTTCAAGTAACCAATTATTCTAACTTTTCAGGAAACTTGTTCCTCAATAGATCCACGCTATGTGATACACTCTAATATTGTTTTAAATAATGAGAAAAACTACACATCTAGGGATAATCAAGGAGAGTAAACGTAGATCCAGAACTGTTAGGCCTAAAATTTTAAAGTTGTACAGATTTTAAAATTCAAAATGTTTTGTTGCAAATAATTTAAACATAGCTTTGTACACTTAAAAGTGTATTTACTTGAAAAACAACATGTTTTCTATAGTTTTTTTTAATACTTCACCAACAATAGTGAACCATCAAAATGTTTAAAAGAAAATTTTTTTTAATGTACAAAAAAATATCCTTTGTCTCAGGATTAACATTACCACACTGAAAATGTTTCAAGAACTAAAACTTAACCAGTTTCAATTCCAAAGCCTGGATTATACATGACAACATTACCATTGATTCCTAGCCAGTAGGAAATTCTATTTGCAAGCATAGCTCGAGAACAACCAGTGATCCCAAAGCCATTGACCTGAAGTTTCTCGTAGAACCATGTTTTTTCCGATTCACTGAAGCAGGCACCAATGAAAACTCCCGTGTTAGTACCTCTTAGATGCCGAGGGTTGTAACCTAAAATCATATTTTAAATAGTTAATGAAGAAGACACAAATGCATTAGTTCAAAATTAAGCATTAATTTATGTTTAAATATATTTGAAGAGGAGAAAAGACTTTGTAGTTGAGTGTCCAAAACAAAATTTGTTCATAAAAGATGTTGAAGTGAAAGATTTTTCATAATTAGATACAGTACCAATCTCGTACTTCAATAGGTAATGGAAATGACACTATAATTTTATCAGAGTTTCTCCTTCCATCATAAATCCTAGAGGCTAGAATTAAGGACCTGCTTTACATGCCAGATGTGCAGCAATGTTAGGGTTTCGTACATTGTATCTAAAAATGTTTTTTTTTTAGATTCCACAATACATCAGTAAACATTAAACATGACATCAGTTTGTTCTCAAAATTATATATATATATTTTTTTTAAAGCTCTACAAATCTTCAACAAAACCGATTAAATTAAATAACAGAGGCGTAGAATGACATCTAAAAGATCAGAAGAATTTACACGTTAACAAAACTGCAAAAATATTGGTCCTGGAACCAAATGGAACCCAAATACAAATCGTCTCTGAGGAAAGGAAAATGGAAATACAATGTTACAAAGTTTCAACATTTAAAATCTGGGAAAATTCAATAAATGCAAAATCAATTCATTGCTAAACTTGTTACACCTTATACTTGCCCCCATTAAAATTACAAAAAAACATGAAGTCTTAGAAATCACATTTGACAATTTTTATGCCAAGATAAACTTTACTGAAACCTAATAGATAAGTATCACAAAGTCCTTAGTGATTTAGTAGGCAAACAATTTATTAAAGTGATAAAGGCTTCGAACAATTGAGAAGCCAATAGATTGTTTATCAACATTTATTAAATATATCATATTTTTTAAATATTTTATCTTGAGCTGTGCGGTTTCCTAAATATAGATTACAGCAAAATGTATGTAGCCAATAACTGAAAACGATATAATCTTAATAATTTGTTTAAATACTCAAGATCTCAATCCATCCATGAATGCTCAATCTCAATCTATTTATATTATCAGAATGTCAATAATTATTTTTTAAACAAATTAAAGCTCACCAGAATCTACAACAGCTTCATAAGCTTTCTCTAGCAGCATACGACACATAGGGTCCATGGTGTGTGCTTGTTTGAAATGAACCCCAAAAAAAGCTGCATCAAATTTGTTAACCTCGTTGAGTTTTCCAGTTCTTTGAGGAATCTCAGGGTGCTCTGAAACAGATTTTATGTCATGAAGAAATAAAGTTATAAAAGTGTGATGGGTTTTTAATTTGTTGTAATCAGGGGCGGACTGGGTACTCTATTAGGGCGTAAACCCTGATCAGCCCGAAGGCGCCAACCGGGGGGTCCGAGGGTCTGCCCCTGGGACATTTTTTAAAAATTATACCTGTAAACTCGCATTTTTAGGCAATCTAGAGGCATTAACAGTGGAAAATCAGAAATCTGATAACTGACACCATTGGTCAATGTTTGGTTTACAAAATTTAGACTATTTACCCACACGACTTGGTGCTATTCTGACAGTAAATATCCTAACAAAAATAAAAATACAAATGATTTTCTTAGGTTCTTTCATATTATATTTGTGTATTTTCTTTGTTTTCCCTTGCATGGCTTGGCTGCATGCATACAATATAAATCATTTGCTTCCTGTTTACAGCCTGAACTTGCAACTGTTGTATTTTTTGGCACTTTAAATAACAGAAGTTATATATTTTAGATTTCTATGAAATTATTTTAACACAAACAATATGCTTTCACTGTGAACAAAAACAAATTATTGACTTAAAGTTTTTAGTATTACATTAAGTCATAACTGTAACCCTAAAGTAGGCCTACCTAACCTATTTCTACAAACGAAATAGCCTAGAGAGAACTACGAAGGTATTTTAGGCTGGCTATCTGTAATTAAAATAGGAAAGTTGACAAAATTAGTGCCATAGGGCATATTGAAATAGTTAATTAATAGGCTGTAGCCACATATTAAAATACTGTTTACTGTTTAACCTTTACTGTGTAATGGTTAAGTTAACAAATACACCGTCATTAAATCTATTTAAATTTTGTAAAAGTAGTGATTCTACAATACTGCTTTCGTTCATGTTTCCTGTGTAGGTAAAGAATATCAAAATAAATTGAAGCTTTCGACACAGAGATACAAATCAGACACTCACTAAAGAGAGTCACATTTTAATTGGCACTGGCAGCTCAGCTCACACTCTTTATTTATTTATTACATGCACGGCAAACGCCATTTTACAAGAGAGTTGAGTTGATATTGATAAAATTAAATGTGACTTAAAGTGAAATAGTTATAGTGTGAGCAATAATTAAATATTATAACAATTATGAATAATATTAAATTATCTTCACTAGTTGTTTACCATAGACGACATCGTGACACCGACCGATGTCTGATGCAGTCGCAGTCACGAATACTAGAAAAATGCCGGTATGGATCACAAACATAAACAAATGACGTTGTTGGCCTGAATCCTATACTGAGCATTGAACATATGATTTGGCAGTTCCATTTAAGCAATGTTAAATAATGTTTATTTTCGGGCCAAAAACGTCATTTGTTTATGTTTATGATCCATACCGGTATTTTTCTAGTACTCGTGGTCGCAGTGCAGTTTTTTTTCGGGTTCGGCGTAAAATGACGCGGGAAGAGGACAGCTGTTTTTAAGTAGCTCAGACCACAGAGTAAAGTAAGTGCCTTCCACTCGGAGTAGGCCTACACGTACGAGAGAGAAGAGCTGCTTTGCTCTCGCTTGTCGACAGTGTCTATTCAGGTCTCACACCCGATTTTGTGTTTTGCTATTCACTGCTGAAACTTTTACTCTAAGTTTTTCCTCTTGCTTTCTAAAAAATACATATCGTCTCATTTTTTAAAATTTTTTTTATGAATTTTTCCTTTAACGAGGGCGCAAATATTGGAATGTTGAGAAGGCGCATCGGCCCACCGGCCGGTGGGCCGGCGGGCCAGTCCGCCCCTGGTTGTAATTGTGAACATATACATGGTGAACTAATTCAGAAAATGACCCTCTGGATAAGAAAACGGCTTTCAAATTTGATCTATCAACTTATAGCCATGGTGGAAGATCCACCAGAGGGAAAATAAACCCAACCACCTACTATTGAGTACATCTTAAAAGTATACAAATGTAAATAAAATACACTGAGTGAATCAAACTTGTAAAGAAAAATGTTGATAAACGTTACGTACGACATTCACTCTACGTATACACTAGTTAGGGATCTCACACATGTAGAAGTCCCCTCTAGGACAAACTGACAATGGCCATATGGTAAAAAAATTGTTTTTATTACTGCCCTGATCTGGGCACGACTATTAATGTAGTTACTGTTAAGAAGGAGATCATTACCCTTTGTTATAACATTTGGTTTTAAGATGATGCATTCATAATGTAAATAAATGAAGTAGAACTGTTAGGTTTTGTTCAGCTACAAACTTAAAAGTAATTTATAATACACAATGGAAAGTTTTTTTTTTTTTATTTTTCTGGTTGAATCACATAGCTTTAATAATGTAGAATCAATGTGGAAAGTTATAACATACTCACAAAACCCTAGATCATAAGCCTTTTATTTTCCTTGTACCATACAATATATTGCTAACTATCCTAACAAAAAGACGGTTGATCCAAATAAATTCAAATGTATGATATTTTACCTAGTTTCCATCGGCGGTCATCATCAGATATTAAGTCAACTTTGTTAAACAGCTTCTCCCCAAAGTCCTTGACATTGTCAGAGTCCGGGTAGAAGCCAGCTATTCCAGAGATGACCACCTCTTCTCCCGGAGCCGGCTGTGCCAATCTACGGCCCGCCTCCAAGGCTAGGGTTCGATCACTTATAGTTCCTGCCATCTGTTTTACAAAAAAGCACAATAAGAAATATGTTGAAAGTTTTTTAAATCACCTCTTATACCGAAGTAATTCTTATGATCCTATCTAAGCCAATGGCGAATCCAGAGGGAGGGCGACCCCCCCCCCCTTGGGCATACATACATTTACCATTTTGATAGCATGTAATACAGTCGTGCATACACATTGTGTAAAATAATTTGTCACACTAACTTTGGACAACGAAATGGTATAAAACTGCCATTTAGGAGACTTAGTCTGCACAAATTTTTCTGGGGGTACCCCATAACTCCCCGTACCCCCTGTTTCGCCCCCCCCCCTTGTGACTGATCTAGGCTACTGGTTTCTACTCTCATGGGAGTCTTCTTCAAGCCACCAGATACCAATTTGTGCTGATTTGCCTGATAAAAACCCCCAATGAGAGTTACCATTGGTAGTCTAGACAGACTGTCTACACTTCGGTCTAAAATGTATTTACCCCTTTATTTTATTTAGGTATAGGTACTACAAGTGATTCAGAGGCTAACATAAAATATGTTAAACAGGTCACAATATATGGATTTGTGAAACTAATTGTTCTATTGTAACACTATGTTTTTACTAAATGAATGGAACTCCAAACAATTCAAACAATTTTGGGATTCTTTGAGATCAAAAAGTTATTACCAATAATTTCACTCAGCCTGGCAACTTCTACTATTTTATTTATTTATACATTATAATCACATTACATTAATAAACACTTATTGTTATTATCAATTATATCTGTATACATTGCCTCCAAAGGGCCATTATTTGGGCAGATTGTGGTTAAAGTATTTTTTATTTTATTTTTTATGCAGAGGAAGTACTGTGTTTATGACTGGTATTCCACTAAAAACCCCTTTTTAGTCAAGCCAATATGCCTCTTGTTTATATGTTCAATTGTAGTACATACAGTATTAAAAGGCTTTAGCATTTAGTCTTCCAACAGTGATGTTCACAGGTGTAATAAACTGCTCAAAATTATGAATTACCTCTGTAACTATGGTTTCACAAAACAAGTTAGAAATATTCTTCCATAAATTTTAACCATGTACCAGATGCTGTTTTGAGTTGTCTTCGGATAAATTTAAAATAAAACAGATTTGACGACTTATTTGAGAATTGTGTTATTCGTTATTCATCTCCAATTTTAAAAATTGAAAGATATGAATGATCATTTTATATATTTCCTCATCATTTTTCAAGCTAGGTAGCTCTATCATTTTGCTATTTAACATTTAAATTACACCTCATGAATGAAAAAAATCAACAGATCAAATGCAACATTACATGAGTTTTTCCTCAGAGAAGTTAAGTTGCTACTCTTTGAGTGTAAATGTGAAAAAATCAAATGTGGCTGAACACAATACTTGGGGTCACTCAGGGTTATTATTCAAGTCAACATGTGGACAACAATGAAGCATGTTTAGTCATGCCACAGCAGCTGGGAACTGCTTAGCATAGAAAGGTCACAAGTTAATTCAAACACTAAACGATTTAATTTGATTCATTTAAAGCAAATGAAATAACAAAGTAGCGTTTTTGATAAAATGAAGTTCAATGGACACTAGTTTAAATCATAGTAAATACTTTGGCTAGTAGGCCTACTTGGTGTTGAACACGACTTTTTTTAAGTGTATGATGTGTGATCGTTAATAATGTAAGGGAAATTCGATATGTTGAAGGAATTTATGTCATTACTCATTTGGAGGGATATTACCAAGGTGTATGTTTCAACCAAAGTTTTATACAACCAGAAAATTGTTTTTTTAAGCAGAAAAAGTTTTTTTAGACATATATTACAACAACATGAAGACGGCTTTTTACTTATCGTTATGTATATGTAGTCAAAAGTATAAATTTAGAAAATCATTTTCAGTAAAAAATATTACTATAGGTTCTTTGATTGTTGATTCTGCTTAGTTTGATGCGAATAAAATGAGTAATTTCTGAAACTTATTAGTCAGTATTCATGTACACTAAACACGGTTTTTTGTTATTTGGGTACTTGTTCTGTCATCAAAGGAATATTTTAACTACATTATTATTGTATGTGCAATTTAATTCAATTAAAACGTTAAAATAACCAACATACTCCTCCATTAAAAATATTGTCTCTTTTTAAAGGTAATTGTTAGATAATTAAGAGTAATATGTCCTATTCCTAGCTTTTGGGGGAGTAAGAATTTAAATACTCGAATAATTTATTAAATTCTGTCAAGAAGATAATGCACTAAATTAAATAAATATTTGTAAGGTAGGAGGAACCTTTATGTATTTCTAAAAAATAGAGGGGTTGTAGTAAATGTAAGTTTGTGTTTATTGTTGACTTGAAGGAAAATATATTTTACGCTTATGGATGAACTTAATTTAAAATCCCTCCAATATTTCGTGGATATTGTCTGACAAAGCTATACTATATGACAAAGCCTATTTCATGTACAGTTCCGGTAATATGATCAATGGTGAATAAAGATTTCCGATTTCTGATTTCTAATTGAGTTGCAAACTTGCATTTAACCTGGGGCAAAGAATTATCCTAAATAAAAATTGTTAACTAACATCCACGGTAAGCTTTCATAACATCATACCACATTTACATTGAAATATTTATTTGAAGCTCTAAAGAAAATCTTGCAATAGTTTTTATCTTTTAAAAAATCATTAGTGATGGCAGTCAAAAATTAATATTTCCATAAAATGATGCCGTATTTTGTTTTCATGAATGTTAACTCAATTACATTGTGATGAGATTCATAGCGCAATCTTATGTTTGATAGATTACTGTCTAAACACAATGGCACAATGATTAATATTTGCTTTAAACACAATTGGATCTAATACCGGTTAGGTGTTTAATTATATTTACCACTTATTTCTCTGTTTAATAAAACTTTTCAATGTCAGTCAATAAGTTTAAATTAGTTTATATGGTGTAGCTTTTCAATTTTAACCTCAAGTTAATTTAAGAAAAAAAAATACTCATTTATATTTAAAAAAAAATATTACTGATTATTGAAAATTATTTAGTCTCACTAAGTCAATTTTGTAAGATATTTAGAACTTATTTGAAAAAAAAAAACAATATATACTTACTAAGTAAAACTGGAGTTTCAATTTGTAGTGCTAATATTTTTAGACATACTATAAATAAACAAATTGCAGTGATTAAAAATATAAGCCCTACCTAGTGGTTCTATTTATTAAGCCTAACAAAATGTTGACCTAATTACTATATTTCAGTTAGAAATCAGTAAATTAACCAAACTAATATACCAATAGACATTTTTTAAACAGGGACTGTTGGATTGATCTGAATAAAGGTGAACATGTGAATTGCACAAATACTTCTATTTACTCAGAACCAGACTAAGTATACAACTAAACAACTAGAGTGGTAAGAACTTGAGCATTGTAATTTAAAGGTGGTACTTGTGTGTTCAAGTTAGTTTTAACCCTTAGAACAACCAATGTCAGCAACCTATTGTTAGAACAACCAAAGAGATTATTAGTATATTTTTCCACTTATAATCTCATCAAACTGAGCATTTTTTTTTAATTCGCCCTCAACTCAGTTGTGACAGGCAATCTGTAAAGCAACGCCCATTTTACTATTTTTGGTATTTTAAAAACCCAACAAAGAGTTTAAATATGCAATTTCTAAACCAACCAAATTAACTTTAAATTCTTATAAACAGGTGAAAACAGGTAGAATTAAATTTTTTAATCTCACCTTAAGTAAAATTACAAATGGCACTTTTTATATTGTCAATAGTAAAAAACTTTATCTCATCCTTGATTGAATAAACCCTTGAATTATTTCACTAATTGGTATTTATGGGTTTAAAACAAAATAAAACTGCCCAGTCATTGAAATTTCCCAAAAAATCGCAATGCATTTATAAAAGTAGCTATTAAAATAGTTCCTATAAAATTAAATTTCACAGCAAGTTAATAGATATAGTGTATGTAAAAACTCAATGTTTAATATTACTAGATTGCCCTATTATTTTTCTGATGGGAAATCAGAGCAGATGTACCCTTTTCCAAGCCAAGTTTGACCACAGACTTTGGTTATACTGCTAGTAGACTCATGGTCTAGTGGTAGATCAAACCACTAGACCATACATCCATCTATACATCTCATCCTATTGCAAAATCTCATACATGTTTTGATGTATTTCTCATTTTCAGTTACATTTCAGTGTCGTGATGTCAGCTAAATATTTCTCTCTTATTTTCTGATGAACTTAAATTTTGCTCTGTATTCTTTGGCCATGACACTAGAAAACAAGTAATACTTAGTAACCTAGTGAATGGATTGTGTTATTTGGTTAGTATACTTTAAAAGTAAGTAAAGTAATATTAAATCAATAGTAAACATCACAACACACTCAAACAATTCTAGATAGAAAATACCATTAAATGTTCCATAACATAATGATGACAAAGCTGCAAGATACTCTATCATGGTTTAATGGCTTAACTAATATTATATGTATTAGGCTACATTAGTCCTACTCTAAACACGTCACTTGTTCACTATCCGTGCACTACACTCAGCTTAAACTCACTTGGGGTGGTGATGCAATGGTGAATGGCAGAAACAACTAACGGGGTAAAACTCGCTTCTGAATAGTTTTATTGGTCAACTTCCCCCACTCCTTGGACCTGAAGACCCACACATTATAATGGAATGGCGATCCATAGCTGGCCACAGGAAGTCTTTATTGATACACTATTGTCTTAAATTCAGTGAGCCATGAAATTATTCACTGTACTCAACTAGTGGAGGGGGTTAATGAACCATCTTCCTCAATGTTTACTGCAAAATTTTAATACATTCTTGGGTTTTATTTTTCTTTCTTTGTAATTTCCTCTTTGATTTTAACATCAGATGCTAAATTATACCAGTGCTAAGGTTTGAGAGCAATCTAGATGGGATAACTCTTTTGGTTTTTAGTATTATAAGAACAAGAAAAACGCAAAGAAAAAAATTCATGCAATGATCAGGCCCCACTATGTATATGGGCTAACTGGGCTATAGCCCATAGCTCCAAATGTTTAGGGGTATTATATTTAAACAGTTCTGTATGTTTTCAAAATATAAAAAAATATATATAAAAACATACAAGTTTTAATCCCTCAAGACCTTCCGGTTTCGGTGTTTCAGGTAAAACAATAGGACGAGGGGTCTACTTACAGTTTTCAAATTCAATAATTTTGTCCTTGTTCTAAATTTTGACAAGTTCATCAAATTTAAATTGATCAACCACCAAATATATTCTGTCTTGTAAAGTTGCATTTCTCTGGTGCAGCACTGCAAGAATCTAACCGCAAGATACCCATAACATTTTCTAAGAGTTATATTGGGATATACTGTAAAACCTTTCCATCAATTTATAGAGCAAGAAGTAACGATTGCACACTTCTTCATCACTCATAAAGTAGACTATACTTACATTTTGAAATTTTCATTTTTTGAATCTTTCAACAATAAATCTAGAAGGACTTAAGTTCATAAACATTAAAATTACCGAACAATTCAAAAACCAATATAACACCCTGTTCCTATGACTCGATCTTGCTAGATCATGAACTCATTCAAGTTTATGCTGCCATACACGTTTATGTCAAATTTCATCAGAATCGGATGAATATATACATATATAAATTTAAAGGAATAGTTTTCGGCCACTATGGACATCAAAATGAGAATAGATCGGTCCCAAGTCTAGGTTTTAACGTGCCACCTACCATGGACAAGAGGGGGCTCATGCCCCCTCACACACTTCACCCTTGTACTGTACCGGCTCACCCCTTGTTTCGCTGGATATGTTCCAAGCACAGGTACACATCAACATCCTTACACATATCCTTATGGTCCCCTCAGGAATAACCAAGTCACTCCTCTTTTTACACCATACTAAAAGGTAAACATAGAACAAATACATTAGAACCTCGATTACTCGAACCTTAAGATCTCAAATTCCTTAATATCTTGGCTTTTTTTTAATCCCCTTGAAATTCACATTAATCATAATGTTAAAAGTACCTTTGTAAGTCGAAGTTTCTAAATATTTAACCTCAATAAGTCAAATTTTAACAATTTTTGATCAGAAGTATTCAACCTCTGTAACTTAAATTTTCCCATCATCGAGCATCAGGAACTCGAAGTTTTCCTTTATAAGTTGTGACCCATAGCGGCACACTATATTTTATTTAGTGTCAGCGTCAGCGGTTCGCGAGGCAGGGCTGCATGTTGAGCTCGTCAGCCCACCGCGAGCGAGCGAACGCTTCCCCCCACCTACTTTTTCAATTCTTGTCCTACTCCTTGCCTACAGCTCCAACGACTCAGACAGGAACCTGATCATCTGGAACGATTCTATAAATGGATTAGTCTAGATTTTAATTATATGTAAGGATTTGAAAATAGAAATGTCAGGCTAGTTAGCAAACTCTCGGGGGGGGGGGGGGGGGGGTCCTGCAAGGGTCGCCCCCGACATTGGAAATGTAGGAATTAAATTATTAATTTTTAGCATGAATAAATTAATACGTTTTCCCCAGTAGGCTTCCACAGATTCTCTCAGTAAATTCTTAGATATTTCCGATTTAGGTATTTCAATTCCAGCCAAATTATCTCACTCAGTTACTCCTCACACATTGTCATTTTCTAGCTCAAGTGTTTGGAAGGATACTTTAAGTAATTTAGTTGTATTAGAGTAAATCAAAGCTGGCTTTGCAAGCTTTCCGATCTGGGTAAAAAATCTCCGTTCTCTATTCACTGGTCCCCAGCATGTCTTTCATGAAAATCATTTGGTAGCTGATTCAGCATGCTTAAATTAGTCTCTGAAGTAACACATTTCTTAATTACACAATTGCACACCCCCTAAAATATCACCCTCATACGCTACAAAGTCGAAGTTCGCATGAGCGTGCCGCAATAATTCTAAGTTTTGCCTTCCCAGTGCAAGCAAGTCAGTTGTGTTTTGATTCCTGTCGAGACATGAAAATCCAACTTCCTGTGTCTGTTTGGATATTGCTGTAATCAAACTAATTTGTCTTTGTTATTTAGTAGGTTTTTAATGTATTCTGTCAAACTTTCATTAACTTGTTCCATACACTAGGCCTACACAATGTTACATAATGTTAACAGGACTCACGTTTAACCTCAATAACACCAAACATTATGATAAATACAGTACTGTGTATCCATAAACAATTGTTGCTTAGTATTTTTCACAGCAGTTTTCCATTATTTGTATTGTGTAGTATTGTATTTGGATGTTTGGGGCTTATACAGTTTTTATCTTGTTTATTTTGTTTTTAAAAGTTCCAGGGAACTTACGTTTACAATAAATTACAATTACAGGTATTTCCAAATAATAAATACAGTACTTTATGTGTATTAAAATGGTTTTATTTTGCTTCCAAAGTTACTCTTCAGTGTGTATAAATAGTTTGCGTTCAATTTATAAAGGTTTAGCACGTTAAAGTCGGGCTATAAAGGCCGTGACATAATATCACTGTCAGATCCTAAGACCTCAGTATCTCAAACTTTTTTGTATGGCACCTTCATAACTCGAACCTCACTTACTTGAAAAACTTGATAACTCGAATTTTTATCGTACCCCCTTCAGATTTGAGATATTGGGGTCAGACTGTAGTTAGGTTTTCCTCCATAAAAAGAAACTTTTATCACTATCTAGTAACTTAAATATTCTATTTATACTTACTTTCTAATATGCAGCCTTATCTCCATAAGTACAATACATACTTCATTTTGAGCAAATTGTAAGTGATAAGAACTTAATGATGTTAAACGGATTATTGCGGGCATTTTTCATCACTGGTTCGCAAAACACACATTCCACGACTTTTCAGGATCTGGTATCTGGTTCTGTGTACAGGTAGGAAAGACCCTAGAGCATAACAAGATTAGTGCACTGACTGGACAACACTGAGAAACACAAAGACTGAAAACAAAAGAAAAAGAGCAGTAGGATAAAATAAATCAAAATACAAAAATGTTTATAAAAACTATCGATCAACACTGTCCACACAACAAAAAAAATAACGTAAACACAGTCCCTGGAATCTAGACAATAGCTATGGAATCTAGACAATAGCTACAGTAGACACCCTCTTATCCTCCTCAGGACAGAGTTCAGCCTGGACAACAGGCTTTCCAAATAAACCGGCGTCCCCTAAAACTCCTTAAATTAGGACGTCTAATGCTAATGAACTACTACATACTACTACATACTACATACTATCACATCTTCCCTTGACTCTGGTACTATATAAGCAAATAAAAAATATTAAAACTAGATACCATAGGATAGTTACTGTAAACACAAAACACCAGGCTTTGTACCTTTCAAAATCTTTAACAGAAAAAAAACTATTACAATTTGTGACTGCTGCAAGATATTATACATTGCATTTTATAGTGGCTGACTTCCAAGAAACCTAAGTGGTCCTACACGGTAACATACTGTACTTTAACTATCAGCATAAGTGTTCACAACAACCACAATAATTTAGAGTCGCATTGTATGTATGAGACTAACGATACATGTACTCGCCACAGGAATCACTAAAAAAAAAAACTCAAATATTTTACTTAAATTTTGGAAAGCATTGTATTTTGTTAGACATGTGATCACTTTTCCTAAATCTTTCCCACGATAATAGTTATTTGTGCAACTAGTGAGCAAAGTGAGCAATTGACTCACTTGAGAGAAATACTAACTCACGAGCCGTAGGCGAGTGAGGAATGGTTTCTCGAGTGAGGCAATTGCACTTTTCATGTTATGTTGTTTATTCCAAATCACGTTGACAATAATATTGTAAAAAGGTTAAAATACCTGTAACTGCCTTGTGATTCCTCTGTTCCTGTACTGGACTACGCGCGTTTCGATGTATTCACATCATCATCAGGTCACAAACCTGATGGTCCAGTACAGGAACAGAGGAATCACGAGGCAGTTACATGTATTTTAACCTTATTACAATATTATAATTGCACTTTGCACTCGAGTTACACATTATATTTTTCCTACAGATACCATAAAACAAATAAATTGGTAAAGAAACGTAACATATTTCACACAGAAATGAACTTTTAATATGACATTTAGAGGCGGTTTGGGAGCTCGGTATTAGCGCTAGTCCACGACTAAGAACCGGATATTTCCGGTATTTAGGCTGCCGCCTAGAAAACGGGTTTGGGAGCTCGGGATCAGTTAGTCGCGCGCCTAATTTGTGCAAGGATAATCTCGCGCCTAAATATTGTTGGTTTGGGAGTCAAGTTAGGCGCCAGCCTAAGAGATAGTCTCGGTGGGTTTGGGAGACCAATTTCGGGACTAAGAGGTATATTTTCGTCATAAAAATTAGTGAGTTTAGTCCCCAAATTTAGTCCTGCCAGGGGGCAGGTCTAAGTCGACATTATGCCGGTATTACCTCAATTTTTTTAGGTTTCAGTTGTTCAAAATATAAAAAAAATCTTGCGGGAAGTAATTTAACGAAATATTATTTTGTTTTTGTTTTTACTGTTAACTTCAATAAAAATATGGAGCCTGAATAGAATTTAT